GCCCTCCCCCCCCCCCCCCCGTAGGTTGCCTCTCCCCTCCCCCAGCCTCCCGTGTGGTCAGCCTTTGGGCAGTGGCGATGGTCGCTGTGTGTCTTCATCAGCTACTCCGGCGGTCCTTTGGGGGAGACTCGGAGGTGGGGGAGGCGGGGCAGGCAGGCAGGTTCACCCGCACCCACCTGGGTGAAAGGTGAGGGTGGGCCCCGCGTCGGGTACCGAGATAGCAGTTCCTGCTAGGGAGCGGTAGGTCAGGGGTGCTGTGATCCGACAGAGAGCCTTTGTTGTTATTCTAGGTGTCGGCGGGTGGGGTGGGTCGGGTAGATAATCCCATGTTGTGAATGCCCAGGACTGCAAGGGCAGGCTTGCTGTGGGCGGGCAGCAGCCCTGGCAACGGAACCCCTTCTGATTTGACTCGGTCTCGGTGCACGGGGTGTGGGGCCTCACCTTGCTCTGCGGGGGCTGGCTTGTGGCTCGTGGGGCTCGCCGGGGAGATGTGTCCGGAAGGGCGGCCACTGACAAGCACTGGAAGAGGCCGGGAGCTTTGAAAGTTAGTGTCTGATTGTCCGATGTAGCACCGAGCTCCAGCGTCCGGACAGGTGTTTTATTTCGTTAAACGTATTTTAAGAAATGATTAAGAGAGGATCACAAACCTACAGAAGAAAAGAGACCAGCATAACAGACCCCGCCATATGGCCACTGCCCGACTTCACCAGGTCCCACGCGTGGCCAGTTCATACCTCCACCCCCAGTGATTTTGAAGCAGACCCTGCACTTGACAAAGGACAAAATTGCATTGATATATATTTCAGTATGCATTGCTAAAAGACAGCAGCTCTTTTATTTTTAAAGATTTTATTATTTTGAGAGAGTGAGCGAGCGAGTGAGAGCGAGCATGGGCAGGGGAGGAGCAGAGGGAGAGGGAGAAGCAGACTCTCCGCTGAGCAGTGAGCCCAATGCAGGGCTTGATCCCAGGACCCCAGGATCATGACCTGAGCCGAAGGCAGACTCCCAACCGAGTGAGCCACCCAGGCACCCCAAAAGGCAGCTCTTTTAAAAAATAACCGCAGTATCCTACGCCCCCTAAAAATATTTAATGGTTAATTCCTCGATGCAGTGAGCTGACCCTTGCTTGGAGGAGTGAGTGGGACACTGGTGGGCCCGCCCACCTACGTTACAGATTTGAGGAGAGAAGGTTTAGGTGCATTAATGTGGAATAGACGACACTTCAGTTTCACGAGGCGGCTTTTTTATAGTAACCGCTTTATTGAGGTATGACTTAGCGCACTGTCCCCTACGCCCATCCAAAGTGCACGCTTCTGTGGTTGCGAGTCCCTTCGCAGACAGGTGCACCCAGCACCACGGTCCAGATTTCGAACGCTTTCCTCACCCCAGAAAGAAACCATCCCTCCCCTCAGCCATCTACCCCTCTCCGTCCCCCCGCCGTGTACCCCCCCATTCTGGACACTTTGTGTACATGGAAGCGTGCAGTGTGTGGCCTTTTGTGTCTGCTGCTTTCCTGTACTAGGGAGGTTCTTGAGGTTCATCCGTGTGACAGTGCTCCGTTCCTTTTTAACAGCCAAAGAACACTCTGTTGGATGGCTAGACCCCATTTTATCTACCTGCTCATCAGGGGAAGGACATTGGTGCTGCTTCTGTTTTTTGGTTATTGTGCGTAATGGCGTTTTAGGAACCTGTGCGTGCAGGATTTTGAGTGGACTCGTGTTCAGTCCTCTTGGGCAGGCAGCCGGGAGTGGTAGCTCGGGGCCGTGTGCCAAGGCCATATTTAACCTTTTGAGAAACCGCCAGACTGATCCCCAGCGTGGCCGCCCCATAGCGCATCCCCACTCGCAGCGCGTAGGGGTTCTGGATCCTCTGTGGCCTCGCTCATGCCTTGGCAGTGTTGTTACCTCGATCTTGCAGGTTCTAGCCGTCCTGGGGGGTGGGCCGTGGCATTTGGCCTCGGTTTTGATCTGCATTTCCCCACAGCCACAGGAGGTGGCCTTCTGAGTGTAAATTGTTTCTTCTTTTTTTTTGAAGGAGGCTCCATGCCCAGCGTGGAGCCTGGCGTGGGGCTTGAACTCACGACCCTGAGATCAAGACCTGGGCTGAGATCAAGAGTCGGACGCTTAACCGACTGAGCCACCCAGGCGCCCCTGTAATCGTCAGTATTTTTAAACGTGAGGCTGTGGATGCCAGGATAGAGGGTGGGATTGTCCCTTTACTAGATTTGCACAGGGCGTGTTTCGAACCTTTGTCTGCCGGTTCACTAATTACCGCGATGGCTGGAAGTGGGAGGTCGGCCCAGGGCAGCACCTTGCCTACTGCAAAACTAGAAAAAGATTGCTCATTTAGGACTCCTATCTTTGGTTTTTAGTTTGAACCAATCCAAACGAGCAAATCCTTAGTTAAAGTCAGGGTTCTGACAAGGCCATTGACTCCTGGCAGGGAGACTGCAGATCCTCTGTCTCGCCTCCCTCTCTCTGCCCGGCAGAAGTTAGATCCCCGGGTGAACACTGGACCTATACCTTCGGATAGAATCGGCTACAAACGCTATGTTTAGGTTCCATCTACTGCCATTAATAATCCCTCATGTCCTTATAAAGCCCTTGAAAGATCTTACAAATCATGGAAAGGGTGGCCAGTCTGTAACTTTGTTTGCCGTGCTTCTGGCTCTGCAGAATTCTCTCTGTGACGCCCACCTCCCGCCGCATGGAGGGGTCTGAAGCCTTCGTGAAGAGGGGTTAAGAGTTAACCTTGAGGCGCCGGCAGAATGCTCAAGCCGCTTGGATAGCTTTTTGAGAAAAGGACACCCTCTTCCACATCCTGAATTATCTGCAGGAGGCAGTTGCTTGGAGATCTTGCTGTTTTCACACGTGGCATCTTTTCCTTCAAAATTGGCCAGGCTAGGGAGGTTGGCTCCATGCCTGCTAGATAACACGTAGATCATCGTGAACACTTTGTAGATCACTTTAAGCTAAGGTTATTCCCAGGGAATTGCAGTCTTGCCAACTTGCTCTTTTCCTTCATAATCAAAGCAGAGTCGTAGGTTCATGTGCTGACACTTCCCAGGGGGTGCCCACCCCAGCCTCTCCCTCTGCCCCCAACGACGTCAAATGTAGTGGGTCCACCCACCACTTCTCCTCCCTTCCTCCTCTGCCTTCTTCTTTAAAAGATTGATTTATTTGAGAGAGAGAGAGAGCGAGCATGAGCAGGAGGGGCAGAGGGAAAGGGAGAGAGAGAATCTCAAGCAGACTCCCAGCTGAGCGTGGAGTCCCACATGGAGCTTGATCTCACGACCCCGAGATCACGACCTGAGCCGAAATCAAGAGTTGGACGCTTCACCGACTGAGCCACCCGGGCGCCCCCAGAGTGGTCTTCTTGAGAACAGAAACAGTAACTTAAGGCCCTTGGATGGTTTTCCTTAACCCTTCACATAAAACCCAGCTGCCTCCCCTGACTGCCTCTGGGCCTTCCTCTCCAAAGTTAGCGGCCTGCCCTTGACCCCAACCATCCTGTCCTTGACCTGCCCTTGACCTCTACCTAGAGTCCTGTTTTACCTTTGGGCCTGAAAGGCTTGCCCTCCAGCCAATCCTCCTGGGCTTCCGTGTCACCCAGGAGGTCCCCTCTCTGACACCCCCTCGTCTTCTGGCCTCCCTGTCTGAGCTGGTGGGGGGCAGGAGGACTTCTCTGCCAATGTCTCAGTCCTCTGTGTGGCTGGCATGGGGGAGGCAATCAACACACGCTTGCCGAAGGAGCCAATGAATGCAAGCTGCGTGCCTCTCGGGGCCTCTAATGGGGCGTTTGTTCCAATTAGCTGAAAACTAAGCTAGTTTGGCTTTTGTAACTGGGCATCTTTGAAAGCACGATACCTGTTGATTTCAGTTGGTCCTCCACCCGCACTCGGTGGGCTTCAGCAGGTAAAAACAGGAGAAATAGTTGGTGATAAGAAAACACACACACGATTTTGGATTTTTGTTACGGTTCTTGGTAGCTTCCCCCCCCCCGCCGTTAGCTTCCTTTCGATCACGGGGCGCTCCAGCAGAGTTTAGGAAGAGATGGCTCGGTCCCACGGCTCCAGAAGGTGGCAGAGGGGCCGGCTCCACCGGAGGGAGGCCGGGAGGTGCTCCAGAGTCGCCAAGGAAGAAGACAGGAGCCAGGGGGGAAGGGAGCCAGAAGAGACCCGGCTCTGAAGCCGTTGAAAGGAGACGTGCTTTTATTCGTTGGGGCAGGGCAGGTAGCCCAGAGCCAGCCTGCTTGCAGGAGGGTAAATGCCCCCCCTAGTTAATGTTCCACCCCTTGGGTTGTTGACCCAAGTCAGTCATAGCCTCCGAGGAGGGGGAGGAGGAGGAGGAGGAGGAGGAAGGAGACCTGGCTCCGTCCGTAGACATGCCTAAACACCCACTCCTGAGGATTCTGTGCGTCTCCTTCTCATGGAGTCTTTTTTGCTGCCTGAGATGGTCTCTCAAGCCAACAGCCACATTGCGCCCCAGAGTCCAGAAATAAGGGGTTCAGGGCCATCACGGACTCATCTGTGGACCCTCTGGGTTTCTTCTGTGCCAGCCTCCAGGCAGCTGGTGGGTGGGGATGAGATTGGCAGGTGGTTAAACGGCCACCAGCTTCCTGGGTCAGCTGGGTGTGGCCCGGGCTGCTGGCCTGGAGGGATGGTTCAGTGGGATGGCCGGGGCCGGGGGCCGGGGGTCGGGGGTAGGGGTTTCCGTGGGTCTGGACACTGGAGGCTCGGGGATGGAGGTGGTGGTGGGAGGTGCCACTCCTGGACTCCGCTGGCCACCCCGGGCCTCCCAGCAGAGGCGACAGTGGGCTGTGCGGTGCTGGGCAGGTGGGGGAGGGGGCGCTGCGCGGGGGTCTGTGAATGGAATATTAAGTTTGTGAAACGGCTGGGAAAGACTTCATGCAGAACGAATCCCAGGTCTGGGTGAGGGGTTTTCTAATGTCCGGTGACATGCTGGCTGCGTCACACTCTGCCCTCCTCCCCCTCCTGCTAGGAGATTGCCGAAGATGGCAGAAGCTCACCAAGCCGTGGCCTTCCAGTTCACGGTCACCCCGGACGGGATCGACCTGCGGCTGAGCCACGAAGCCCTCAAGCAAATCTATCTGTCTGGACTGCATTCCTGGAAAAAGAAGTTCATCAGATTCAAGGTTGGCCAGTCCTTGTTTAAATCTGTATGGTGCTCACTTCAGCATCCGAGAACACGTGTAGGTGCTGGTGCAGTGGGCGTGTTTGAGTGCTGATCGGCATGACTGATACCCCCTGGGTACTTAGGAAACGCTTCCGAGTACACCGGCTCACCGAATTCTGTAAGGCGGGCAGGGGCGGCGGCACCCTCTAGGCAGGGGCGTGGGGGCTCACAGAGGGTGAGTGACCTGCTCAGAGAAGTAGAGGAAAGACTAGAACCCATGTCTCTGAGTCCAGCACTCTTTACATCTTGTAGAAGAAGGATTGTTTCCGAGCTGTGCCAACGGCCGTGAGTTTATCTAACAGATGCCTCGCTGGTAAAATAGTCCGATGTTGAAATACATGTGTAAATTCAAGCAGAGTTAACTTCCTATGTTCTCAGTTCGGTTTACCTGAAAGACTGGAAATGTATTCACTGGTTTTAATCAAGCGCGAGTGTTGTTCTTTTAACTTACCCATAATTTAATTTATTTCAAAAATCACAGAAGGGATAAGATGCGTGTTTGGGAAGAATTCAAACGGGATGACCTTTCATCGAGTTACCTGCCCGGGGAATGAGGAAAACTCCTACCTGTATTTGTTTTCCCGTTTCCTTTTCTGAGGGTGTCGCTCAGAGAAGGGCTGTTGAGAAGGCCCAGGAGCCAGGGTAGGGTGAAAGCAGTGAGTCAGAGGAGGGGGCCGGGCCCCTGGGAACCTGCCGGGCAGGACAGGCGCTGCGGGCGGGGCCGGTGGCTCTGGGGAGGAGGCGCCACCTACAGGGGGAAGCGCGCGTTGTCACCTGACCTTGCCGGGAGCAGCTCCTTTTCCCCCCTCTGATCAGGAAGAGAGACTTGGGTGCAGAGCTGGGGCCGTCCGTCACTGCAAGCCAGTGGAAATGTTCTCTGGTTTTCAAGAGGTTGTAGTACAGCTGAGGAGGCAAAACCAGTAGGTAGGAAGAGAGAGGATAGACAGTTCACAGCCTCGCCTGACTGCGTGGCTGGCAGCTGGACGGGCTGCAGGGGGAGGCTGGGGTGAGCGGGAGACCTTTTAATCTGGGCCCTTCCTGACCCCGTTGTAATGTCATGTAATGTAGTACATGTACGTATCTATCCGAGAACACCAGGAGAACCCCCACTTTGTTTAAAATCTCTTTCTCTTACACTTCTAGACAATCGAAAACCCAGTGGGAATGGCATGTAGGGATGCAAGGAGCTCCTAAAAGAATTCAGATAAGCTTTGAGAGTTTTTAAATCCATTGTCTTGGCCAAATCAATCTCTTGTTAAAGACGGCTTTAGTAAGATATATATATATTTTTTAATTAGAAGTGTTGAAACAAACACAGAAATAAAAAGAATAAGGAGCCGCAAGGCTCACCTGGGTTCCAGAATTTTGTTTCATATCCGTCTTCCGCTCCTGCTACTTTTTTGTGGGTTTTAGGGTGGGGAAGTAGAGGGGTTTGGCTGAGGGATCGTACAGCAAATTCTCAACATGCAGTCAGGTCTCCTGAAAATACTTGGGGATTGAGCAGCCTCTTGATTCAGGAGCGGCAGGAGGGGTGGTTTTGGAGCTGGGGGTCTTGGGGCATCCCAGGCGTAGCAGATTGGGGAGAGGACATCATGGTTGGCTCAGTGACGTCCTTAACTCGAGGGTGTCGAGAGTCAGTCTGGGTGGAGCTCGGGAATCAGTGTTAAACTCATGCCTTGGGTGATTCAGATGTCCTGGGGTCACTCTCGGGGTATCTCCTTCTGGGAGGGATTTGGCTCAGAAATAGAGGAAGAGAAGGGGCTGGAGTCTCTGGGGAAGACGTTCTATAGTGGTCACTTAGCCACCGTGAACTACAAAGGCCTCCTTCCCCCTGCTGTCATTCCACTGCCCCATCACCAGGAGCCGTGGACTTTGTGGGCGGGCCAGTACTCATGGTGCATGTTCTCTTTCTAGAATGGCATCATCACTGGTGTGTACCCGGCGAGCCCCTCCAGTTGGCTCATTGTGGTGGTGGGTGTGATGTCAACCATGTATGCCAAGATCGACCCCTCGCTGGGGATCATTGCGAAAATCAATCGGACCCTGGACACGACGTAAGTACTCTTTTTCAAATCTCAAATTGTCTAGGAAGTTAGCGACTTTTGTTGCTGATATTTTTATGTCTCTTCGAATATAATGGCCATCACCGTTCTGATTCCATTTGAAGCTTGGCTATTCTCCTGCTGTAGGCTTTCTTCTGTGTTAAGGTCCACAGGGGGTTTGGAGTCCCTCGTGGCCCTTTCTCTGAAGACAGCCTTGGTCCTGGGTTGCACTGGGACTTCATGTCAGGGCCCAAGGTTGTGGTCACTGTGCTTAGCCTGGCTGCAGGGTCCTCAAAAGGAATTTCTGCTCCAGGAGCTGGTCCTGGACACGGTCAGCTCTTTGCACTGGGGTCTGTGACCCTGAGAACTGACTGCTCTGGGGGGACCTCAGCCCCTTAGCTCCTTGTCCGAGTGGCTCAGAACCCCGGTGGGAACCTCAGCACTCTTGAGAGTTTCCGGCTTTTCTGGGAGCTGGAAAATAGGCTTTCTTTCTACCATGATTTTTGGCCTAGAGGAGCCTCTGGGCTGGTATTTTCCTGGAAAGGTGTACGTGGTGCCTGGGGTCCCACGTGGAACGTGGGCATGCCCTCGAGCGCATTTATGGAACCCCTCTGAAGTCCTTTCTTCCCTCCAGTCCCAGGGATGGCCCTAACGCCCATGCAGGGTCCCCTGGCGGTGACCTCGCTCACGAGGGTCTCCGGTTACTCCGTTTGTGTCTGGCCCTTGCTCTAGAATACTTGCTTTTATTTTCTGATTGGAAAGGATCCCAGTACCTCCAAAACCACCATGGTGGTTCTGTGCCAGACCTTTGATCCTGTTTCTCAGTTCGTTGTTTACCCTTGTCTCTTACTACAGAAATCATGGTCCCCAAGTCCTCAGCCCATAGGTGGGCTTTGGTTTTGGTCCAGGGGTTGCGTGGGGAGGCTGGGGCCCCCTGACTTCCCCGGGTCGTGTCTGTGGTGTCAGCCGCTGGCCTAAGCTAAGCAGGTGAACTGCGGGCCCTGCTGGTTGCATGGCTTTCACATCGTCCCTTCAGAAAGGACTAAACTGGCAGGGTAGGACTTCAGGTGGAAACCCCCAGCTCATGAGTGAATTCGACTCTGATTACTCTAAAGAAGTAAGTCAGCTGTTTTCGCTTAAAGGTGTGAACTTGTATCTCCTGGAGTGGGTGCCCCTTCCTCCTTGTTCCTTCTTGTTCAAAGCCCAGAGTCCAGCCGAGTCGCTCATGGCCTCCAAGCTGCCTCAAGAATGCTGGCTTGTGCCTTTATAAGCGTCTGCGAGACCTCGAATAAAAATTCCATCATTTCAGAGCAAGTGTGCCTGGGCTGGACCCCTGCCAGATTCCCTGCTCTGCCTGGCGGCCGGGGACGCCGAGGCAGGGACCCCGACACCCCCCACACTCCGGGGAAACCTTGCTCCTCCTGTCCTTGCGACCCCTGCAGACAGCTGGTCCTCTGCACACTGGGTCGTGCTGTTTCTGCGTACTTTTCAGACTCTTGTGGGTTTAACGTGGAGTTTTAATGTACTTTCCACTGTGGGCTCTTAATGCTGGATTATATTTAGAAGTGTTGGCTATTTAAAGCCCTTTATAATCTGGGTCTTTATACGATTTGTTTCTTTGTCCCTCTAAACCAATTGCGGTGAACTGGGCCATCCTTGGCCCAAATTTAGAAAGACCAGGTTAAGGGTCAGCGTCTCCCAGGCTCGAAGGTCGTTCTGGAACTGTCTTTCCGGAGAGCACCCCCGACTGTCCGAGGTGGCTGTTTTCACAAACGCAGACGTACTAGGCTGGGTTTGCTCTGCGTCCATCCAGCTCCTGCCACCTCGGAAGGACCGTGCTCTTTAAAAGAAAGCTTTTTTTTTTTTTTTGCTAATGCTTTTCATTGAAGTGCCCATGTGTCTATTATAGAAAAAAATCACAACACAAGATTTGACAAGTTATATGGACACAAGTTTTGGAGCAAAAGTATTTTATCTTGAAGATAATTTGTTTCAGTGTTACTTAAAAGTATCAGAAGGTGTTAACTTGGTGGGTTTTAAATACTGGAGGTATCTTTAGGTTATGTATACATTGTTTATTTTAATAATCTGTAGCACACAGGGGCGCCTGGGTGGCTCAGTCGTTAAGCATCTGCCTTCGGCTCAGGTCATGATCTCAGGGTCCTGGGATCGAGCCCCGCATTGGGCTCCCTGCTCAGCGGGAAGCCTGCTTCTCCCTTTCCCTCTGCCTCCCACCCCCCTGCTTGTGATCTCTCTCTCACTCTGCACTCTCTCTCAAATAAATAAATCTTAAAAATTTTTATTTATTTGAGGGGTGCCTGGGTGGCTCTGTTGGTTAAGCGGCTGCCTTCGGCTCAGGTCATGATCCTGGAGTCCCTGGATCGAGTCCCGCATCGGGCTCCCTGCTTGGCGGGGAGTCTGCTTCTCCCTCTGACCCTCCTCCCTCTCGTGCTCTCTGTCTCTCATTCTCTCTCTCTCAAATAAATAAATAAAATCTTTAAAAAAAAAAAAGAGACATAATTGACGTAACGTTTTATTAGTTTTAGGTGTATAACAATGATTTGGTAGATGTATGTAGCTCAAACTGATTACAAGTCTAGTTAACTTTCATCTCCACATATAGGTACAGAATTTTTTTTCTTGTGATGAGAACTTTTAAGATCTACTCTCCTAGCAATTTTTAAATATACAATATGGTATTGTTAACGACAGTTACCATGATCCCTAAGGCTTTTTTGTCTTATAACTGGAAGTGTATACCCTTTTTTTTTTTTTAAGATTTTATTTTTAAGTAAAATCCCACACCCAGCGTGGGGCTGGAACTCACAACCCTGAGATCAAGAGTCACACACCCTACCAACTGAGCCCACCAAGCGACCCTGGAAGTTTGTACTTTTGGACCACCGTCCCTCCTTTTGCCCATCCCCTGCCTCGGGCAACCACCAGTCCACTCTGTATCTAGGAATTTAGATTTTTGTTTCAGATTCCACGTATAAGTGAGATCCTACAGTAGTAGCTGCCTTTCTCTGTCTGGACTTATTTCGCTTGGCATAATGCCCTCAAGATCCATGGTTGTCACAAATGGCAGGATTTCCTTCTTTTTTGTGGCTGAATAACATCCTATGATATTTACGTAGCACACCTTCGTCCATTCACCTGTCAGTGGGCACGTAGGTGGTTTTCATGTCCCGGCTGTTGTGGATGATGCCGAAATGGACGTGGGGGTGCTGATATCTCTTCAAGAGAGGGATTTCACGTCCTTCCGATAAATACTCAGAAGTGGAATTGCTGGATCATAGGGTAGTTCTATTTTTAGTTTTTTTGAGGAAGCTCCATCCTGTTCTCCACAGCGGCTGCACCAACAGTGCCCGAAGGTTCCCTATTTTCTGTGTCTTTGCCAACGTTTGTTATTTAAACCCTTTTTATTTTATAACTAGCTTGTGGTTTCTGAAACAACTGGAACTAAAAACCACCAAGATTTTTTACAGCCCCATCTTTACCATACGATGTATCTCTTTCCTTAGCAAATGAAAACATTTTCTCTCTTTATTATTTAAATGACCATTTTATGGGGCGCTCGGGTAGCTCAGTCGGTTGCATGTCCAACTCTTGATTTCGGCTCAGGTCATGATCTCAGGGTCCTGGGATCGAGCTCCATGGGGGGCTCTGCATTCAGCGGGGAGTCTGCTTGAGATTCTTTCTCCCTTCCCCGACCCCTGCTCACGCTCTCTCTCTAAATAAATCAAAATCTTTAAAAAAAAAAAGATCATTTTATAACACCAGTTTCTCCACAAGTATTCCTGCCTAGATCAAAAACAAGCTCCTTTGATATATATATATATATATATATATATATATATATTTTAAGATTTTATTTATTTATCAGAGAGAGAGAGAGAGACAGAGGCAGGCAGAGGGAGAAGCAGGCTCCCTGCTGAGCAAGGATCCCGATGTGGGACTCAATCCCAGGACCCTGGGATCATGACCCGAGCCGAAAGCAGATGCTTAACCGACTGAGCCACTCAGGCGTCCCCAAGCTCCTTTGATATAAACAGCTATAATAGTTTTCCCAAATGATCTGAGCGTCTCATGAGTAATGGCGAAATCCAAAGTGATGTTTGAGGAACAAGAAGGTACAGGAAGGGAACGGCTCAGATTTGCTGTGAGCGCCCAGCTGAGGAGGTGCGAGTGGACCCAGGGCGTGGGTTTCATCGCCGGCAGGCCACCACCTCACACGTCCCCTGTCCCCATCCCTAGACCCTGGAGGAAGTTGCGCATTTTCCCCGAGGACACAGGAGGCTTGGTTTGTCCTGAGGATGGGAGAGTGATGCCTGAGCCTTTGAGAGTTGGGCTGGCGCTAAGGGAACCTGGCGTCCCTTCTTGGATTCGGGGCCCACGGTCTTGTGTCGAGGGATGGCCGCTCTGGCTGGCAGTGCGTGGCGTGCCCGCTAACGTGTGCTCGGCTTGTGTCCTCTCCCTAGCAGCTGCATGTCCAGCCAGACGAAGAACGTGGTCAGCGGCATCCTCTTCGGCACGGGCCTGTGGGTGGCCCTCATCGTCACCATGCGCTACTCCCTCAAGGTGCTGCTATCCTACCACGGCTGGATGTTCGCCCAGCACGGCAAGATGAGCCGCGCCACCAAGATCTGGATGGTAATGACCCCCACGTCACTCTTGGTGCCGAAATGGTGTGGATTTTTTTCTAACCGCTTTATTTTGGGGTACGCTTGACATGCAGCAGGCCTCCTGGCTGTTTAGCGGTGTGCATGTGGAGGTAAGGATGCACCTGTGAAACCATGGTCATTATCGGTGCCACCAGCTTAGCTCCCCGCCCCCCAGAGCGTCCTCATGTCCCACCCAGCTTTTCCTTTGTGGTAAGAGCACGTAAGATCGGCCCTCTTAGCAAAGGCTTAGGTGCGCAGGGGTGGCGCTGTCGGGGGGCCCATGCCCTGGGCAGCCGCCACCTCCCTTGCCACAGTATTCATCCTTCCGTGTCTGGCTCATCTCACTTTCACAGGGTCTCACGTGAGTGACTCTTACTTTGAAGGGGGGATCCTCGGGGACCTTTCCCATTCCACACGTGGTTGGTTGACCTGGGAACTGCAGGGGGTTGATTCACCGTGACTCCTAAGTGTGGGCTGAAGAGTATTTTCCTTTAATGATGTTGGAGAGTTCTGAACATGGTATATTAGAGTCTGCTGGGTTTGCCATCCAGGTCCTCCTTCAAGGAAAACTGACGCCCGTCCACTTTGTAGCTTTTCTGACTAACTCGAAGGCGGGCGCTCGGTGGTTTCCCTCGCCGACTGGTCCGACCAGGTCTCCCCAGTTCGCCCCGTGCTTCAGGCCGTTCTGCTAGCTCTCCTCGGCTGCAGCCTGAGTGTCCCTTGGTTGCCACGTGTGTGGATGCTTGTCCCAGTGTCCCCCCTGACTGCTCCACCTACGAGCTGACCACCACCTCCCGGGGGCTGCTCGTGAGAGGCACCCCCACGCCCACGGGCCTCACTCCCCCCAGACCGACTTCCTGCGCTCACCTGGCTGTAAGATGGCTGATTTCCACAGAAGCAGAATCTGGCCCCCAGCAGAGAGTCCGAGGGGGCGCCTGCCCTGTACGGAATAAGCTAAACGGTGTTCCCTAGGATGGCATATTCCTGGCTCCCGTCCGGCTGAGTCCCAGCTGCCCTACGTGAGCCCGAGGAACTCCTCGGAGGTCTGGTCAGCATGAGATGGCCCACTGTTAACACCAACTTTGATCCTTCCATGAAAGCAAGGGCTGAGAGGAGGCAAATGTGTGCTCTCCGCTAGGCGTGAGGGGCCACGGTGCTGCCACGTCCTGGGGTTGGCTCCAGGTCCAGGCTTCTCAGTTCGGCCCCTGCCCTCCCCCTTGCCAGGGCTTGGAACCCGTCCCAAAGCCCAGAGCCTTGCAGAGGTAGCCGACTGGATCTTGGCCCCGTGCAGATGTGCAGGCAGCCGGCAACCTCAGGTGCCCAGCTTGGCCGGGGCATCTCGAAGCATCCGTCAGACTTGGGCTGGTTTTTGGTTGGGGTCACCCGTTTGTTGGCAAAGGCCTGTGAGGTATCGGGGCGGAAAACAGACTAGAGACGATGCGAAGCCCAGAAAATCAGTAAAGAGTCGGCAGGTCGAGAACTGGCTTCATATCTTTAACATGGTCTCACGTTTTAAACTGCACCTTTTTTTTTTTTTTTTTTTTTAAAGAGTGCGGTCAAGATCTTTTCAGGCCGAAAACCCATGTTGTACAGCTTCCAGACGTCGCTGCCACGCCTGCCGGTCCCGGCCGTCAGGGACACCGTGAACAGGGTAGGTGTGGCCTCGAGCTCCCTGGGACACCCCCTCCGAGCTGCTGGGCGTCCGGGGGTGAAGGCTGTCGGTTGGCCGGATTAGGTCTCAGCCGTGTGCTCGTCCGGCTGTTGTCAGAGGCCTCTTCCTTTCTAACATCAGCATGTATGAGGTGTGTTTTTCAAAGCATCACGTTTGATAGACAGCTTTGCAATTTTTTTTTAAACAGCTTTGTTGTGATTTAATTCACATACCGTACGGTTCCCCCGAAGCATCCAATTCAACGGTCTTCGGTACGTTACATGACTAGTTGTTTTAAGTTGTGGTGTATACGTATATAACATGAAAATGACCGCTTTAACCACTTTAAGCCATGCAGTTGTGTGGCACTGAGTATGGTCTCATTGAGCGGCCTCCACCACGGTCTAGCTCCAGAACTTCCCATCACCCAAACCCCACACCCGTCTGCTGGCTGTAAGCCTGGATCCGGGGCCCTGGGGCCTGGTGGGGCCGCCCTCTGCTTCACCTGTGGAGGAACGGCTGGGCTGGATCCCACAGGCATTCCCACCGAAGCCAACGAGGGCTGCGGTTTCTGCCTGTCCCGTGGACCCATTCTAGAACCTTGGCTTTTGAATCCCAGCCTAGTTAGTTCGTCCCTCTTGGCCTTTTCAAGTTCCCTCTCATCTCTGCTGTCTCGAGCCCTCCCTCACCTGCGGCGCGGCAGACAGGGGCCCCGCCCTGCGGGAGGGCGGCCAAGCCACCTGCAGCTCTGGGTCCGTGAGTGGGGTGCCCGACTCGAGCTGCTTCAGAGTGGTAACGTTCCACTCACGCGTGTCTCACTTTGAGTAAACTTGAAAACTTGAACAGCTGCTCGGTTTCTGGAGTGGCACCCTCCCTGTAAACATTCAAGGAGGGGTCCTAGAGATCTCCCTGGGGCCCCAAAGCTGTTTTCACGGCAGACAGAACTTGGCGGATGGACACGTTTCCTGATAAACCGAGGGCCTTACTTTCTAGAAGTTTGCTCATGTATATGGCAACAGCTGTTGATGATGGTCTCGAAACCCCATCACATCTGTGACCTGCCACCTGGGTGCTCTCACTCCAGGGTGGGGCTGCTCAAAGTCAGGGGGCCCCACAACCCTGTACCTGGAGACCTGGCCTTGACCCCGAGCTTGGCCTTCCCCGTCCCATCGTTCTGGCTCCTCCTTCCTGCTTCCCAGTGTCCTGGGCTCATCCCCGGCATGCTCCCTGCACTGTCCTGAGTCACTGTCGAGTGGGTGGGAATAAGGCTTTCATTAAGGGCTGAATGATGGACAAAGACTAGTGAGATGTCCTTGTCGGCCGAACCATGATCTTGTCGCTCCGGAAGTCGCTCTGGTGATCTTGTAGTGATGCTTGGTTGGAGAACTAGAAGGCCAGTAAAGGGCCAGTAAAAGGCCAGTTACGTCGCTGACGTAAAGCCATCTGGCTAACTCGTGTGAGGACCCGCAAAACCAACTTGGGGAGTTCGTTTTTTTTAAGATTTTATTTTTATTTGCTTTTTGTTTGTTTTTTTTAGATTTATTTATTTATTAGAGAGCGAGCGAGAGAGAGAAACAGCATGAGAGAGGAGAGGGTCAGAGGGAGAAGCAGGCTCCCCGCTGAGCCGGGAGCCCGATGTGGGACTCGATCCCAGGACCCTGGGATCATGACCTGAGCCGAAGGCAGTCGCTTAACCAACTGAGCCACCCAGGCGCCCAAGATTTTATTTTTAAGGGGAGCCTGGGTGGCTCAGTGAGTTAAGCAACCGGCTCTTGGTTTCGGCTCAGGGTTGTGAGATCGAGCCCCTGGCATCATGCTCTCTGCTGAGTGTAGAGGCTGCTTGGGATTCTCTCTCTCCCTCGCCGCCCCCCCCCCTTGTTCGCCCTCTCTCACTAAAATAAATAACCTTTAAAAAAAAAAAAGATTTTATTTTTAAGTAATCTCCTTGCCCAATGTGGGGCTTGAACTCTTGACCTCAAGATCAAGAGTTGCACGCTCCTCGGACTGAGCCGGCCAGGCATCCCTACTTGGGGAAGATTTTTAAATCTTTTAAATAGGTTTATATTTTTTCTAAGGCGCAAATAAGGGGCCTGTGTGTTTTAACTTGGCGTGTGTGCTTTGTGTTAACCCTAGTATCTAGAATCGGTGAAGCCTCTAATGAAGGAATCTGACTTTAAACGGATGGCGGTTCTGGCAGAAGACTTTGCGGTCAGCCTTGGACCCAAATTGCAGTGGTATCTGAAGTTAAAATCCTGGTGGGCTACTAACTACGTAAGTATAGATACTCGCCATCTGTCTTGGCGGAAATGCATTCAGGTGCACATACTAGTCCGTGCCACCAACCAGCCGGGCCTCCCCATGTGTGGTGGGCGAGAGGAGCCACTTGGGTGATACGAGGCGGGGTGTGACAGAGGAGGTATTCAGTGTGACCAGACGGAACAGGAAGATGGGGCTGGAAGTGGGCGTGGTTGCGGGGCGGGCAGGTGCGTTGTGTTTAGATCAGGAGCCGGCCGCACGGGTGTGTTGAACTCACACTAGCGCTTAGGCTCCCACACGCCCCGCCAGCCCGTGTGGCTCCCGCTGAGCTCGCCAGTGCTCTGTCCTGTTGGCACCCCGCAGGTGAGCGACTGGTGGGAGGAGTACATCTACCTGCGAGGACGAGGGCCGCTGATGGTGAACAGCAACTACTATGCCATGGTGAGTGCCCTGGGCGGGCTCAGTGGGCATCCCGGGAAGCTCCTGCCCCTGCTCCCGCTCACCCAGGCATTCTGCCAGGGCCCAGGACCTGCTTGCCGGGCCTGAAAGCTGCGTGGCTGTCCTTTCGTGTTTGCCGCGAGCCGCTCGGAGAAATACCCTCGAGGCCGTGAGTGGCCCCTCGCTGCAGGGCCCCTCTCCCTGTTGTCGCAGCTGGGCACTGTGTTGTGATGCACGGTGGCATGCGGGCCCGTGTCCCCGCCACCCCCAGAGCTTGGCGACAGGCGGCCGCAGGGGCGCAGCGTCCTTCTCCGCTGCCCTAGGACTCCGGGTGGCTCTTGTCTTCCGAGGCATCGATGGCCTGGGAGGGCACTTCCCGTCGTTTTGTTAGAAACCCCACCGTTTGGGTTCTGATAACTGGTATTTAATAGCTTTAATAACTGGCCAGCCTCGTTCTTTGTCCATTTTCTTTCTGTTCTTCACTTTTATTTCTTGTAAAACACAAAGCTGCCCAAGTGTAGGAAATGCAGTCTTAATTTCTTTTCTATTAGAGCAGGTGTGATTTAACACAGATGGAAATATTTTAACAGTGCGGAAATGCCCTCCTGTGTATTTCAGTTAGCGTGGCTTCTCCCATGGACGTTCTCTCTGCCGACATGTGTTTACCTTTTCAGGACTTGCTGTACGTCCTACCGACTCAGATCCAGGCAGCGAGAGCGGGCAACGCTATCCACGCCATCTTGCTCTATAGACGAAGGCTGGACCGGGAGGAGATCAAGCCGGTAGGCAAACACACTGCTCTGTAAACAGTTCTCTTTAAACGGCTTCGTTGACTTAGTGCACATGCCTGAGGCACAGTTTGATAGGTCCTGTGATATTTATATAACGAACCCCTGAAACCATCACTGCAGTCCAGGGAGTGAACACATCCATCACCCCCAAAAGTTCGCTTGTGCCTTCTGTCCCTCTGGATCACTTGTACTTTCCAAAGCTTTGTGCAAATGCAATCATACAGTAGGTTCTCTCTCTCTCTCTCTGGTCTAGCTTCTTTCACTCTGCGTAATTACTTTGAGATTTCATTCTCCCTGTGTATTCTAAGTGGATCTACATCTCTTGTACTTCATCCCGTAATCCCCGCCGGAAGAAGCTCTTGTTTACTTTTGAAGGAAAACATTTGAGCTGGTAAATTATTCAAGAAGAACAACACATTTCTTTCTTAGATATCCCTTTGGTTGAAGTGTCAGTTTGTAAACGGTCTGTGGTGTAAATGTCAGTTGAGAAATGATCGAGGAGAAGGCGTTACTTGGGCAGGAAGGGTGCGGGGCGCTGAGCCCAGGGCCGGCTCAGCAAGTCTTGCCGTGAAGGTCGGCGGCCCAGGGAAGAGCTGCTCTCCGCAGTTTGGAAAAGATAAAGTCAAGCACTGTGTGCACAGAAAACAAATCCAGTGTTTCATTTGCTCCTTACCCCTTCCCCACCCCCCCGAGGAATTTTTTGTTTGAAACGTATTTTTGTTGCAGATTTTTGTGTTGGGATCCACAGTTCCGCTCTGCTCTGCTCAGTGGGAGCGAATGTTTAATACTTCGCGGATCCCAGGAGAGGAGACGGGTGAGTGGGGCTCCTTCGGGAAGCATTTTTGCTCCTTACGTGCCGCGGACGGAGGTGGTGGACGGGCAGCACACGGATTTATGCTGACCCCTCCTGAGAGAGTGAGATTTCAGGTTCAGGAACATTCCTTCTGTTGAATTTCCTCGGTCTTTCTTAGGGCATGTGACTTATCTTTAGACTTCAGTTTCTCTTTGGTCGAAGGCTGTCTCCCAGGGTGTTCCTCCCAGGTCTGGTTAGGAATATTCCTTTTCTTCATCTGGCTCCCTCGGGAGTTTTGCTCTGGCTCACATGCAGGGTTCCTGTGTAATGCATGCTGGCTTGTGCTCAGGGGGCTGGGCTTGTGATCTAGCAGCTCACTAGGAGCAGCCTGACCTGGGACAGCTGATCCCCATCCCCGACCCTCGCAGAATGCCGGGCAGCCACGTAATCGGAGCCAGGACACCCTCGAGAATGAAAGGGAGATCACATGTCGTCACCTGGGACTATCCCAGACCAGCCAGGGCTCAGGCTGGGCCACCTGCGAGCCTCCGGATGGCCGTGTGGGTAGCAAATACTGGCCACTTGTGACAAACTGGACCCCATCTGAGACCTCACGGTGGGCTGTTAAAATGAACCCACTGCTGCTTTGTTTGTTTTAACCCACTGCTGCTTTCGAAGCTGGCAGAGTCCCAAGCTGATCTGGCTTTCGGGGGGTGTTGTTATAGCCAGGTACCTCTAGACGACGAGCCCCGGGCAGGAACTTGTCCTGTGGTGGTAGGCATGGGGGTCCTCGAACATAAAAGCTGGCCTCTGGGTTGGCTTCCGTAAGTGGATTCAGCCTTTTTCGGTTCCGGGACCCAGAGGCTTTCTGAAGACTCCAGCAATGCACTCAGTACTTTCACCGTGTGGGGTGTTTCTGGCTCGAAAGCCAACCTTTGTCTCTCTCACACTCTGGAGTCCAGTGATCTGTGGCCAGATTTTTGTGAAAAGTGGATGAGTTGGCAAAAAGCAGTGTTGGGACAGTAATAGCATTCTTAAAATTTTTTTTTATTTTGTAAAAGACTTATTTATTTATTTATTTGAGAGCGAGCAGGGTGGGAGGAGCAGAGGGGGTGAGAGAAAATCTAAAGCAGACTCCCCACTGAGCATGGAGCCCGACCCGGGGCTCAACCCTGAGATCGTGACCTGAGCCGAAACCAAGAGTCAGATGCTCAAATGGTTGAGCCACCCAGGTGCCCCAGTGACAGCGCTTTTAAAAGTGATTTTAATCAAGTGTCATACAGTTGTTCCTCTTATCTGTGGTTTTGCGTTCCGTGGTCTCAGTTACCCACAACCAGCCACGGTGTGGAAGCTGATGATCCCCCATAACATCAGCCTAACTCTGTGTCACACCTACATGACTCATCTCACATCATCACGAAAAGAAGGGCCAGGATGAGGTATTTTGAGAGAGAGAGAGACCACATCCACATAACCTTTATTAGCATACGTTATTATAATTGTTCTATTTAATTTTTATTGTTATTCTACTATACCTAGTTTATAAATCAGACTGTCCCGTATGTGCTGGATGGTGTCTGCGGCAGGACAAAGAATCCAGAGGCGGGAGGTTAGGGGAGGCTGAGAACGTACCCCCCGGCCCTCCAGTAGGTACATAGACTGGAAAAAACAAAACATGAGTGTGTCTGGGGTTTGATATGCTCCACGGCCTCGGGCATCCGTGGGGGTTTCGGAACACGTCCCCCTGGGATCGGGGTGCTGCTATACTTTCTCTGCCAGGGTCTTGTGCATCGTCTGTTAGAGTTATTCCTAACTCCTTTATCGTTTTTGTTGTTTTAAGTGTATTTTTGAGTTGTTGGCTACCGACTATATTAGTTTCTAGGGCCATTGTAACAAAACACCACAGCCTGCATGGCTGAAACAGACACTCACTGTCCCCAGTCCTGGAGGCCGAAGCCTGAGATGCAGGCGCGGGCAGGGCGGGGTCCCCGTGAGGCCTCTGTCCTCGTGTGTGGACGGCCGTGCTCTCCCTGGGTCCTCACGGGGTCGTCCCTCCATGTGTGTCTGTGTCCTCATCTTTTCCTATAAGTACCCCTGTCATGTGGCATTAAGGTCCATCTTAATCACCGTGTGTTAACATAATTAGCTCTTTAAAGGCCCTGCCTCCAAGTACAGTCACATCTGAGGGTAGGTCCTCAGCATGTGAGTGGGAGGGGCTCCGTTCGGCCCAGAACTCAAGGGGGAGAGGAATGCACATGATTGTAGACCCTGAGTGTCTCCCCAGCTGTGTTCTCAGTAATGTAAAACAGCTGGTGGTTGGTGGGGTCGGTTGGGTTTTCTGGGGTTAATGGTGGCTGTGAGAGGCCCGTGTTCCGATCCCGGTATCGTGTTGGTTCTTTCCTCGTGTACTGTGCTGGCCAGGACCTGGTGTAGTGTGGAACGGAAGTGGTCGTAGTGCGCATCTTCTTATTTCTGACTTTGAAGTGAAGGCTTGAAGGGCGTGTTTGCTTAGTTTTCTGGTAGAAACCCTCAAGCGGGCCTAAGTCCTTGGCCCAAGAGGATACGTCCAGTGAGTGGCTGAGCGGAGCTGGGACAAGTCAAACCTCTCAACTCTGATCTGTACCGAGTCCTCTGCACTCCTGAGACGTGGACGGACGAGCTGCGTGGAGGGGCCGGGAGCGCTGGACGGCTGGGCCGGGGGACGTTCCCAGCCTCTGCTCACCTCCCGCCTCTGGATTCTTTGTCCTGCCGCAGACACCATCCAGCACATACGGGACAGCAAGCACATCGTCGTGTTCCACGAGGGGCGCTACTTCAAGGTCTGGCTCTACCATGATGGCAGGCTGCTGACGCCCCGCGAGATTGAGCAGCAGATGCAGAGGATTCTGGACGACCCGTCGGAGCCTCAGCCAGGGGAGGCCAAGCTGGCGGCCCTCACCGCGGGAGAAAGGTGTGCGGCTCCCCGGTGACAGGGGTCGTGCTCTGGGGGCCTCGCGGTTCTCTTCCCTACCCGGGGACCCAGCTGGAGGAGGGGTGCTGGGGGCAGGGCTGGAGCCTGGGGTCTCAGCCCCGCCCCCGCCGGTGGCCCACCTCGGCCGCGTGCGAGGCGCCGGGGTCTGCTGGGTACCAGAGTTCGTGGCAGACGGCAGTTAGGCTCTGTCGCAGGGCTGTGGGCCCATTTAATTTAGGACACAGAACAAGTCGAAGCCAAGGCCTCTGTGTCGGGGATGAATTTCCTGCCACGTTTAGAGATCATTCAGAGGCTTTTGTTTCACTGAGGGGTTAGCTTGTAAGGTCAGAGCTGGTTTCTCCACCTTGGCTCTGTGTGCACGGGGCCACGTGACCCTTTGCTCTGGCAGGGTGCCGTCCGGGCCCGGGACGATGCTGAGCAGCACCCCTGGCCGCCGTTGACAGCCACCCCGTTGTGACCAACAGAACTGCTCAGACGTTGCCCACTGTCGCTGGGGGGCAGTATCGTCCCCGTTCGGCGCCCGAGTTACCGCAGTGTGGCGTCTGTTAGGGCAGCCTAGGAGCAAGGTGGCGAGGGCCCACAGAGGGTGGCAGGGGCATCCGGGGGGCGGACCGCACGCTCCGGGCTGGGAACGGCAGAGTGGGTCAGGGCCGCCAGAACGCGGAGAGGGTCCCATGGGCCCGACTACACTGGGGCTTGATTCGGGCATTAAAGGGGCGACCCGAAGGCCCCGAGCAGATTTACGAGATTATTCTGCTCTGGCGGCTCCTCAGCGGGCAGTGTGAGCTGGAGGGGAGGCTCGGTCCCAGAAGCCCAGGAGTACTGGGCCATCGCCGGGGCTTCACCGGGGCTGGAAGGAACCACGGAGGGCAGTGCGTCCCGGGGAACGAGCTCCCTCCCCATGTGCTTGTGAGCGTCAGTGGTGGGTGGGCACAAAGTGCTGGAGAGGAGTGGACTTGTCTGGGACCACCTGCCCCACAGGGCTCTGGGCACCTGGCTCTGATGCTCCCCTGTCTCACCGCCTGGAGCCCTTCTCATAGATGCCAAGTGTATACATGGGCGTCTCACACCCCCCCCGAGCCCTTCTCATAGACACCAAGTGTATACATGGGCATCTCACCCCCCCTAGCCCTTCTCATAGATGCCGAGTGTATACATGGGCATCTCACCCCCCCTGAGCCCTTCTCATAGACGCCAAGTGTATACATGGGCATCTCACACCCCCCCCGAGCACTTCTCATAGGTGCCGAGTGTATACATGGGCATCTCACCCCCCCTAGCCCTTCTCATAGATGCCGAGTGTATACATGGGCATCTCACCCCCCCTGAGCCCTTCTCATAGACGCCAAGTGTATACATGGGCATCTCACACCCCCCCCCGAGCACTTCTCATAGGTGCCGAGTGTATACATGGGCATCTCACCACCCCAGCCCTTCTCATAGATGCCGAGTGTATACATGGGCATCTCACCCCCCCCAGCCCTTCTCATAGACGCCAAGGGTATACATGAGCATCTCACCGCGCCCCCCCGAGCACTTCTCATAGATGCTGAGTGTATACATGGGCATCTCACCCCCCCCAGCCCTTCTCATAGATGCCGAGTGTATACATGGGCATCTCACCCACCCCGAGCCCTTCTCATAGACGCCAAGTGTGTACATGGGCATCTCACCCTCCCCAGCCCTTCTCATAGATGCCGAGTGTATACATGGGCATCTCACCCCCCAAGCCCTTCTCATAGACGCCAAGTGTGTACATGGGCACCTCACCCCCCAAGCCCTTCTCATAGACGCCGAGTGTATACACGGGCATCTCACCCCCCCAGCCCTTCTCATAGACGCCAAGTGTATACGTGGGCGTCTCATCCCCCCAAGCACTTCTCGTAGACGCCAAGTGTGTACATGGGCACCTCACCCTCCAAGCCCTTCTCATAGACGCCGAGTGTATACACGGGCATCTCACCCCCCCCCGAGCCCTTCTCATAGATGCCAAGTGTATACATGGGCGTCTCATCCCCCCAAGCACTTCTCGTAGACGCCAAGTGTATACATGGGCGTCTCCTCCCTCCCTGAGCAGTTCTCATAGACGCCAAGTGTATACATGGGTGTCTCCCCTTGCCCTGAGCACTTCTTGTAGATGCCAAGTGTATACATGAGCGTCTCCCCCCGCCCTGAGCACTTCTCATAGACGCCGAGTGTATATGCTGGCCTGTCACCTTCCTGTCTCCTCACGCAGCACGAGCTGCGTAGTAGCCATCCTTGTTGTCCCTGTGGCCCCTGGCAGACAGTGAAGACAGAGGTCCTGGCTAGCTGTGTGTGTGGGGACCCTGGTGTTTATGGGGGTGTTGGCACCACAGGCTGTCTCGGCAGAGTGCTCGGGGAGAGAAGAGGACAGGAGACAGGCCAGATGACCCCGATCTGGAAGGGTGGGTGGGGCGAAGGACCAAAGGAGGGCCCGAGTGAGGGGTCCCGGAGCAATCAAAGGAGCCACGGCTGGAACAACTCTCAGGAAGTGGGTGTCACGTCAGCTTCTTGTATCCCACGAAAGGTGGGATGAAAAGAATCCCCTTCCCAGGGCTGCCCCTTAGCCCCCGGATGTCCTGTAGGCATTAGTAGCATGGACCTGGTCAGGACAGCTTGGGTTTGAAGCTCTCCCTGCCACAGAGTAGCCGTGACCACATCTCTGTGCCTCAGTTTCTCCCTCTGAAAGGCGGGAGTGGTAGTGTTGGTCAGTGAGCTAGCACGTGCACAAGGGCTGGAGCAGAGCCGGGCAGGAGGGAACGTGCTCCCATGCACTTGCCAGAACATCCTCAGGATGGACCCTGGCGCGGGTGCGGGGAGCCCTGTCTCGGGGCCACCGCCCCCAGGTCGCTGTGCTCAAAGTGTGCATTCCTGTGGCCCATCTGGCGTTGAGTGAACAGAGGTGCACGCCGTGCCTGTGCTCTGCTCTGGGGCGCCTGCCGACGGGTGGTGCTGACCCGCTGCAGACAGAGTCCTAAATATGCGGTTCCCCTTAAATTCCTACAAAACCGTGAAAAACGTCGTCATTTTGAACATCACATGTAAGGTGTCCCCACATTCCTGTAGGTTTGACTCTAACCCTTGTTTCAGAGTTCCCTGGGCCAAGTGTCGCCAAGCCTATTTTGGGCGCGGGAAAAACAAGCAGTCCCTTGATGCTGTGGAAAAGGCAGCGTTCTTCGTGACGCTCGATGAAACAGAGCAAGGGTACAGGAAGGAAGACCCGGATGCATCCATGGACAGCTACGCCAAGTCTCTCCTACACGGCAGGTGTTTTGACAGGTAACGTGGCTGTGTCTCTACCTTGAAGGAATAAGGCTCGCACAAAAACACAACTTTGGTTCTCTTTTCTGTGCGCGTGCGCACACACACACACACACACACACACCCCTCAAGCAGCAGACTTGAGATTTTTCTCTCTCCGTGCCCGACCATCTCCGATCGGAGGCGCTGGTCAGAGGAGTGGCAGCCGGTGCCTGGAATCCAGGCAGGAGAAGGTGGTGGACGGGGCTGAGCTGGGTATCGGCTCTGGCTTGCTCCCTGAGCTCGTGACTGACCTGGAGCCTCCCTCCCCTTGTCTGCGGAGCGGTCCTGCCTGCCCCGCAGGGGGGTGTGAGGCTCAGTCCAGGGTAGGGGTGTGCGGGCGCATGGCCTCCTGGCTCCCTGTGCTTGCCTTGTGGGTCCCTTCGTGTTAGAATAACATACTCTGTTCTGCTTATCTTTGTGTCTGATAACAGGGAAGTGACTGATCTAAGTTCCCTGTGTGCTCTTACTATCACTCTCTGCGGAGATTTATGAGTGTCGGCCCCGCTGTTTGGGGGGTGGGGACAGAGGAGCCCATCCTGAATAAGACAAGTACGTGGTTTTCGATTGACTTGGTCTTTTTAAAAAGTTAAGTCCCATGAACGTTTCTTTTCCACGTAGGTGGTTCGATAAGTCTTTCACGTTCATTGCCTTCAAAAACGGGAAGATAGGCATGAACGCCGAGCACTCCTGGGCCGACGCGCCCATTGTTGCACACCTGTGGGAGGTGAGTGGTGGCAGCTTTGACGTGAGTGTGGGAATTGCTGTTGCAGATCCAGACCCCAGACCACGTTTCATTGCGTGATACCCGTCTGATCATAGAAGGCTTCTTACCGCACGTCGGCACTTCATGTAACGTTAATTAGCTGAACAAAAGGCCTTTGTGTCTTCATTTCCTACGACTTAGTTTCCTTAAATAGAAACACAGTTAATGCCATCTCCGGGTAGAACCAAAGTAATGGAATGGCAGTGGGCTTTCGTGCGAGGACTCCAGGGCAGAGCTAAAGCAAAACCATTTCTTCTTTGCTGTGTTTTCGAGATTTTTCCCATGTGCCAAGTGTTCGGCACTAGAAGCAAGCATATTAAAATCCTGGTTGATAAAAATGCAACCACATCATTTAATTCTCAGAATTACCAAGTTATTTAAAAACCGCCAAACCCCTATCCGCCGGTCCCTCTACCAGCTTGTTAAAATGCAGTGTTGGACTGACGCTGCCACTTCTTTAAATTTTAAAAAATCCATTTCTCCCTGAACTGTTGGAACTGTCTTTGTGTTTGGCACGAACAATTGAAGGAAGGTTTTGCTTTCTTAACTCATCCGCCATGGTTCTTGTTTGAAGAAATTTCTGAACTCCGGGATTGTCAACAGTGGACCTGATCCAGAAATTTCTGTATTTTGATTTGATGAAACTCAAGGTAACTTTCTGTGAAAGCAACAAGGCCCTTTGAAATTCACCCTGAATGCTCAGCCTGTACTTTGCAGTCTTCTGCTGCTCTAGTAAATGGAGTGGGTAACGTGACTTAAATTTGTTGCATCTGGGGGAGCCACATCCCTGGGACTGCAGGCTGAGGACCCCACTGTCCTTCACAGGGTGTGGAGCTCGGTCGAGGACCTAAAATGATGAAATCGTAGTGAACTTATAAAGACATCTTAACGCACGACCTCGTCCTTTGTTTTCCTCTTCTTTTTAATTTCTGTGAAGGCTTTGAATCTCAACGTTTATTTTTAAAACATTCTATCCATTTTTGCCCTAGAGCCACATAAATCCTAAAGCATGTCCTGCTGTCTCTTGCAGGGCCTTGGCACATGCCCCCTCCTCTGCCCAGAACACTCTTTTCCTGGTCACGGGCCCCGTCAGGCCTCAGCTTGACCGCATTCCCTCCAGGCCCCTCCCCTGCCTTCTCCCAGTCCTGGGTTAAGAGTGCCTGATACCCACTCCAAGACTTCTCTTGACCGTCTTATACCTTTGGCAAAACCTAACCTGCTGTTCCTTCAGCCAAGCAAGGTCTTCAATGTTGGAAAAAGCATAGACAGGGAAAACAAAGCATTACTTACAGTCTTTAAGATAGCGGTGTGGTCCCAAGACGCGAACATACGATAAAAGCGGTCAAGTCTCAGAAGGGTCTTCACCGCCGCCCATCTGCTGATGCGGTGAAGATCCAGCCACCTTCGGCCCCTGGACAGAGCAGCTAGACATGGGGTCAGTCTACACAGCGGAGTCGTCCAGGCTTGCTGCACCTGTTCCAAGGATGTCCTGAGTGACAGCTTTTCTCGGTGGAGGAGACAGAACCCGAGCCATGGGCAGCCGGGACAACACCGGGTAACTTACCAGGTGGAGAACTCTGCACGTTGACAAGGCCGTGCTTCTATTTTAAGTGCTCTGGAGGAGATAAGGGTAAAGGGATTGCGTTGTGAGTCCAAGGCGATCACTCTTGTTCCTGGCAGCTGACAGAATGGCCTGTGGCTCCATGGACGCGGGCCCCAGGAGCTCCCCACAGAGATGGGACTGACCCCGCTCTCTTGTCATGGAGCCCCGAGCCAAATTAAAACGGGAGCTGGTCTGCTCATGGCGAGCCAGTCAAGAATAAATCTGGTCAGAGCTGGATCCTGTTTGCTGCCGACGCATTTCTGTGGGGGCTTTGATGCAGAGCGGCTCAGACACAAATAGACTGGCTCCTTCGCTTGCTTAGATCACATGGACGCCGACCACACGGACACACGTGGCCGCCTCCATGCGCCCCCACACTGGAGCCCCCGACCCCTCACCATCCGGCAGGGCCACCAGCCGGACTTGGGTGTCGTTTTGGTTTTTTGTGGGGTTTTTTTTTTTTTTTTTGGCCTCCACCACTGGGATGTAAGCTCCCTGAGTGCAGGGATTCCTTTTTTTTTTTTTTAAAGATTATTATTTACAGAGATATAATTGATAATTGACATACCATAAAATTCATCTTCTTAAGGTACGCAATTTGCTGGGTTTGGGGTGTTTACAAGGTGGTTGGTCATACCACCATCACCAGCATCCAAGTTTAGGACATTTTCATTTCGCGCCCCCACCCCGCCACCCCTGAGCAACCACACATCTACCCTCTGTCTCTCTGACTGTGTTCTGGCCGGTGCATGGGTTCCATATTCCGACGACCATAAACACTGCCCCTGGGAAGCATTCGTGCATGGGTCTTACGTGAGTGCATGTTTTCATCTCTCGCGAGTGTGTACCCTGGAGCGGACTGGGTGGGTCAGGTGGCCACGTTTAACGTTTTGAGGAAAGGCAGAAATTCTGGTCTGTTTTGTTCACTGTTCTCTCACTGGTGCTCAGAGGGCTGCTGGCCCTTAGTAGCTGCTCGGTATATACAGCTGAGTGTTGGTGTGGGTGCCCCGTGGGGCGCAAGAGAATGTCACAGCTGTGCCCGGGGCCTGGCTCACGGGGAGTGTGAAAACTGGGGGCACGGCTTCCCCCCCCCCGGGAGGCTCGGCCTCCTCATTTACACAGTGGGAATAATGGGGCCTGCCTTCCAGACTTGGGGGGGGTGACACCCAGCGGGCACCCGGGACCTGGAAACAGGCTCCGTCGGTGCTGGAGTCCTGGCCGAGCTGCTCGCCAGCCCGCAAGTCGCGGAGCCTCCCCGTGTCCGGTTTCCTCCCCTCTACAATGGAAATAAGAACTTCCACGTTAGGTGGCTGTGCAGCGCATGTCCGGTGCGAACAAGCACACTGCCAGCCCTGGGAGTCGCTCCTGCTAAGTCTTCATTACATCTCCTCAAAGAGCAAGGTTGTCTCCTCTGGAGGTCGTTTCAAAGATGCTTGAGGTAACACTGTTGACCATAGTCTTCTCTGATCTGACGCGTGTGTCTTTTTGTTTGCGACAGTATGTCCTGGCCATGGACTCCTTTCACCTGGGCTATGCGGAGGACGGGCACTGCAAGGGCGACCCCAACCCAAATATTCCGTACCCCACACGGCTGCAGTGGGACATCCCGGAGGAAGTGAGTCCGAACAACCTGGCGTGGGGGATGAGCGTGAACGGTCACAGCCCGATTGCCCCCGCGTACTTGCTGCGCGTGTACCAGCTCAGCTGGAGGCCACGGACACGGACTTGTGTCCGCGCAGGGGCCACGGAGCTGCTTGTCACAGCTCCTGCTGTCTCAGGGGCCCTGAGAAATGGTTCTGCTTCAAGTTTTGGCGAAGATTGTCAGCGAGATTTCCAGCTCAGATTTGGCTGGACGTCACAGTGAAAAAGTGAAAAAACAAAGTCACTTCCTTTAGAGTGGAAATACTCTGAGATCACTAACTTACCATTTCTGTCTCTCTTAAAGATTTTCATACACAGGCCGCTCAATAAAAGGAAGCGTTTTGAGGAAAGAAGTTTAGGGTTGGAAATACCACATTCGTGCATATCTGATCCAAGCGGTCACTCCTGAGGCCCGAGGAGTGATTCTCGAAGTAGAAAATGCCACGCGTGGGGCTACCGTGTTAGCCGGGCCTTCTGTCCTGCATCTCCAGGGCCGGTGTGCACTTCTCAGAGGTGTTGCTGCTGCCAGGGCGTGTGGGCTGAGGGTCCTTGTACCCGACCAAGTTGGTCACCATGTATTCAAAATTTTTCTATAGATTTGACTTCTGCGAGCGGTTGTAGTTTCCCAGCACAATTGAGCGGAAAGTCCAGAGAGATCCCTCCTACCCGCCTCCCCCGACCCAGCGCACACACGTGCCCATCGCTGACGTGGGGTTCAGCGTTAGTTAGCGGTGCGCGTTCTTGGTGTTTGGATGGATGTACGGTGACCCGTATCCACGTCCAGCCTCACACAGAACAGTTTCAACGCCCCGGATCTGGGCGCTGCCTGTCCCTCCCTGCCCCACCACGCCCCGGCGCCCAGGGATCTTGTCACGGTCACCACAGTTTGCCTCGTCCAGAATGTCCCATTCTTGGAATCCTATTGAACGGGGCCTCTTCAGACCGGCTTCTTTCCCTTAGTCACATGTGTTTAGGGTTCCTCCACGTTCTCTCGTGGCTTGGGAGCTCCTCTCCATGGCATGGTCGTACCACGGCTCGTTTGTTTTTTAAAATTTGGTCTGGGGTCGCCACAGTGGATTTCACAATACTAAACGAAGCGGACTGTGCGGAATGCCCTGTGGGGTCGCGCTCAGACCAGGAATCGGCAGTGCCCCACCGGCCTTCCTCCTGCTCAGGTCACCCCGGCACTCCTGGGCGAGCGGGGGGCCCTGTTGCTCCCGGACTGTGGCTCTGGGAAGAAAACTGGATTGTGTGTGTTTCCAAGCAACAGCCCTGTCGGCTGCACGAAAATCTCGCCTCTTCGGGGTGTGTCACCGGCCAGTAAGTAACACCTCTTTCTTCTTTTTTCTCCAGTGTCAAGAGGTGATAGAGACTTCCCTGAACAGCGCCAACATTCTGGCAAATGACGTGGATTTCCACTCTTTCCCATTCCACACCTTTGGTAAAGGGCTGATCAAGAAGTGCCGTACGAGCCCGGATGCCTTCGTCCAACTTGCTCTCCAGCTGGCGCATTACCAGGTACGAGCCCGGGTTTCGTCACAAGCACTCAGGGTCCTGAGCATGTGCCTGGAGCCAATTGCCCCGGGGGTGGGGAAGGCTTGGACGCCTGTCCCGGGGGCCAGCGGCTGAGACACAGCCTGCTCATAGTCCTGCCGTGGTCCAGGGCTTCTACCACAGATGGGATGGGACGTGTGCTGAGCAGATCCCCTCTCGGCGGGGGTGGGGCGAGTCAAGAAAAGACACAGATGCAGGACAGCAGAAGAGAGAATGTTAAAATCAGAGAAACTGGGATAGGTAGGCCCAAATCGTACTTCCAGGTGCCTCTACGGTAGTTCTTAACAAAGACGATCAAATCACGAAGCTTTCTTTTTCCCAAGTAACATACTCACCGGAGTGCACGCACGCGGAGCCATTGGACAGAAGCGCGGCCATCGTAGGAGCTCTTTGTCCGATGGAGCGAGGGGACTGATAAATACAGTAACTAGATGGAGGAATTGGATCTTAGCATTACTAAGCTTGAGGTTAAAAATTGCTGAGCAGACTTGGCATGTAAATACACAGTGTTCGGGCAATAGAAGGAGGTGCCATCTCAGATACAGAGAAGATTTTCGTAAAAGAACAGCAGGTTCCGTGGTAATACATTTGCAGATCTCGAAACGATTATTTTCTGCAGCGACAGAAGTTAGTAATGCTGACCCAAGATAAGGTAAGAAGCCAGGAGGAGGTCAGTCCCCATGATGAAAGTCAGAAGTTGGAGAGCCGCCCGCCAACATGAATCTGCTTAGAAGCAGCTTCGTTGCTTGGATGAGCGTAGGGTTCCAGAGGCTTCCGAAAGTGAGGGGCCGCCTGGTTGATGCCCAGAGCCAGCTTCATTTTGGGCATGATAAGGAGCTGCATAGAGCCGCCCAGGTGATGCGAAGTGCCTTGCAGGAGCTCTGAGGTTGAATGAGGGGGCCTTTCTCATCTCTGCCTCACGCACGAGGAGGTGAGCTCCCTTGCCTGAGACCCACAACTCACAGTGGCATGGCTGAACTTGGATCCAGGCAGGCTGGTTCTAGAATCCGTGTCTTAATTGGAGGGATGGTGCGAAAGAGCCGTAGACCAGTTTTGTTCATGAATGTACATACAAAAAAGCTAAATAAAATACTAGCAAATAGAATCCAGCAGTGTAGGAAACGTGTAATCACCAGCAGCAGCTTATGGTGCCACCAACAAGGGGATGGTTTGGTATTAGTAAATCCAGTAACAGATCAAATTATATTATTAGATCAGGGAAGAAAAAGGATAATCGTCTCGACAGATACTAGAAAGACATTAAAAACTTGGCATGCATTCCCGATAACACCTCTAAGTAATAGGAGCTGTTTCCTTAACATGATAAATAGCATCATGTATCAGTAGCCAGCATATGGCTTTAAAGGTGAAAATGTGAGTAACCCCATTAAAGCAAGGATGAGGCTGCTTTCCACTGTTCTCGAAGGCCTTTCTGTAAGTACAGTGACTGCAGCTGATGGGATAATTGGGCAGGAGGAGGATCAGTATGTCTTCTCAGGAGATGGAGACAGCAGAAAAGCTTTTGTAATTAAGGAGGCTGCTCAGGAAGGAGCCCGGAGCAGAATTCTACAAAGACCAGTATCTCCCTTGTCTAGCACTTGGCCAAGTAGAAAGTACAGTAGGGCAAGTGGAATGGGAACCAGAGATAGGAGCCTGGGATCCAGGCATCTGTTTATAAAGCAGGTGGGACTTTTGGGGAGGGAGGCAGAGACAGTCTCCAACAGGGAGACAAGGCTTTGGTTTTGGGTAGAAAGTCGCAACCCCACAGAGGCGAGTGTGCCCAGTTCACACGTCCAGTGTGGACACAGTCTGAGGTCCGGAGATGATTTTGGGAAGGGAGCTCAAGCGACTGATCCTCAAGTTCATTTGGAAGAGGTGGCGTTTGAGAATAACCAGTAACATTCTGAAAAATAAAAGTAACGAGGTGGGCGCTTGTTCTTCCAAAGCCTAAAATGTAGAAATTGGAAGAGTCTAGTAATGAGCAAGGTGCAGCACTGGGCCGTTCTCTGGGATAAAGGCGGGATTTAACATCACTGGGAGGGGATGAGTCGATTAGTGAATGGGGTTGGAAAAATTGGCTAAGTGCTTCCTTTTGGGAAGCAAATAAACAGCCCAGTAGGAAAATGGAGTCAGAGCAGACGTTGGTGATTCACCAGAGCAGAAAACTACAAATTGTTAGGGAATGTACGTGGAAAATTTAATCTTGCTAGGAATCCGATAAGTGCAACGTAAGAAAGACTGCATTTTTGCCTCTGTGATTTGCAAAGGTCTTCTTTCAATTCCGTGTTTGTACAGGGGAACTTAGGGAAGTGTGCGTGTGGCCGCTGGGCTCATACAGCAGGAAATGTGTGTCCTGAAAGTATACCCATTTCCCAGGCAAATTCTTCCTTGAGAATTGTATCCTTTATGGACAGGTTCACAAAGATGAGCTGAAACATACCTCTTGGTAAAAGTTTGAATCAGTCGAAAAGGTTATCAGCATGAAACGTGTTAAATTGTATTTTTGCACAATAGACTGTGTGTGATGGTTAAATGTGTCTATAGCATGTTCTGTGAGAACATTTGGCCATCAGACACCACGTGAAACTTCTGAGTTTTTACTACGATGATCTGCAAACCGCCTATGGGCCACATCCCGCCCTTCACCTGTTTTCACATGGCCCTTGAGCTTAGAATGGTATTGTGTTTTCAATAATTGAAAAACAAACAAACAAAAAGAATGCTATTTCGTGACGTGTGAATATCAAGTGTAAGTTCAGTGTATTGTTAGCATTCAGTCACACTCGGTGTGGAGGGCCTGTTCACAGGTGTTTTGAGTGGACTGGCCAGGTGCCACAGAGACCGCCTACCTGGCCCTCAAAACTGTGATATTTGCCACCTGCCTGTTATGTTACGGAACACGTGTCCTAGCTCTTGCTTTATCCTGTGCAAAATCTAGTAGGAGTTGATGAAGAATACAGCAAGGGGCTGTGAAGGTTGATCTTTATTTTCTTACACTGTTCTTTGTTCACGTTTTTTGCACAAGGTGCATTACGATTGCTTTTTAAGAAACCCTAAGTTACTTTTTCGAAGTTACAGATCACTTGTTTTCAGGACTTATAGCTGTTCCTTACCCTCAGGCTGGAAATAATCAGGATTTTATTCTCCACCCTGCTTCCTCCCCCCACCCATGTCAGTTCTTCACGGAGCACTCAACCTATTAAGAAGGGTCAGTGTATTGAGATGACCTGTTATTAAAAATGTGAGGCAGATCTTTCCGTTCCGAAGTTCTTGCGTGCAGGCTCGGTTGAGCACCAACTGCGTTAGGGACGTGGCTCTGGAATTGTGGCTTCGACCCTTCTCTGCTCAACTCAGAGCTGCAGAACCTCCCCTTGGCTCTGCATAAATCCAGATGTCCTGCATGTCCTGGGGGTCTGTTCCAGGCTTCTGACCCTTCTCTGTGCCCTGGACCCTATAGGCAGTTTGGGAAAGCCTTGGGGAGCCCATCTGAGAATAACATTTATAAAGCATTAAAGGAAATACATAGATGTTACAGAGGTAATCAGTTAGTAAAAATGCACATCAAAATATTAAATGTAAATGAGTGGTACAGTGAGTGTAATTATGCACTAAATTTATGGTGGCAGAGCTAATGACTACTGTAATTTTGAAGTCATGATAAGCGTAGATGGTATTTTGGGACATCTGCAACAACCATAATTTGTTGTGCAGATAGCTATGAATTTCTCTTCAAAGTCACCACACTGTTGGTGGTTACTGTGGTTTGTTGGCTGTGCCTCTAAAAGCTGTATTTGAGTTTGAGGTTAGTAGACATTAAAATATATCTATTTTTCCCTTCCAAGTTAACATGTTACGAAGGTTAGTGACCGTTGGTCTGATCCCTGTCTGCCTTCTCTCATAACACATCCGGTCTCATTCACTCAGTTTTTGCCACACTGGCCTTTTTGCTGTGCTCAAATATGTCAGGCTCATACCTACCTCAGGGCCTTTGCACTTGCTCTCCATTGGTGGTGGCTGTTTCCCAGATCGAGGCGTGGTTGCTCAGGTCTCTGCTCAAGTGCCCCTGTCTCCTATTTAAAATTGCTCCCACCCCCTCGCTCTTCTGTCACCCTGCCTTGTTTCTGTTCAGTGCACCTATCACTGTGTAATATTCTGTAACCCCATTTCTCCCATTAGAACATTTGCCCCTTGAGGGCAGGGACGTGATCGGTCCCCAGTGCCAGGAACGTGCTAGCCACAGAGGAATAGGCATTTGTAAATAAGTGGTGACTGACTGAATGAAGACACTTGGCGGGGATCGTAATTTTAGTCTACAGCTATTTGCTTCCTGCTTCGGGGCCATGTTTACTTTTCATTTAGAAACTAGAGGTGAAAAATTCCCCATGCCACCCCCCTGAACCCTGAGCTCCGAGCCCCGGGGCTGCAATCCCAGGGTGTGACTGGTTTGTATTCTCACACCTTTTCCTGTCCATATCTCCACCGACCATGTCTTTTGATCCGGCTCATTAGAAACTGGAGGTGTTCTCCCGATGGCGGCTGGTTGCGGCAGGTGAAGTGGGGCTGCAGGTGCAACCCGGCTTGGCTCTCACGGGGGCGGGGCAGGGCTGAGCACACTAACATGCAGTGCATTAGCCAAGAGGTTTTTAGACGATCGTTTGCAAAATTATGGGTATCGATGCATGACTGTGCTGACCACTGACACAATTAAAGTTTGGTGTTGGAAAGTGGACCTCGCATAAATCAGTGCCTTATGTATCCCAAGCTAACGTTTATTGAATGCCTAAAATGCCAGATTTCTACTTTTCTCTTATAGCTCCTTCTCTTCCTGCCCCCCCATTGCCTTGTCATGCGCCCCTTTAACCTGCCCGCCGGCGACAGCTGGTAGGAAGTTCTCTGAAAGGCGTATTTGGCGAATCACCTGGACCCCCCTGCTTACCTGTTCTATTCTTATTCTCACTCTGCATAGAATAGAATGAGGAGTTAGAGCCCCTCTTGGAGTCCACCCAGGGGAAAAGTAATGACTGGTGTGTGGAAGAAGTGGTGAGTTGGTGGTTCCTTGTGCCGGGCGTCGGGGGCAGCGTGGAAGGCTTCCGTCGGGAGTGCCGCGCGTGGATGGCAGTCAGCGGTGGCTCGTCAGAGACCTCCGGGCCTGTGTTCCTCACCCCGTGGCCTGCTCGCCTCGTCACTTCACAGGCAGGACTGGGGGAGGGACAGAGCCCCGAAGGCCACTCCCAGGCATGGCCCGCTCACCGGGAACTTCAGCCTTGACTCTGGCACTGGGTTTTGCTTCACCGTATCAGCTGGTGACAGGGTGTCCTCTGTGCCCTTGGGGTCAGTAGGGCCCAGACGCCGAGAGGCGTTGTCCGGTCAGGAAGAATTGGGGTCCACAGGCTGCTGTGGGCCACTTTCCCGTCCAGACTGGGAACCTGGGTGTCTTGGAGTTGGCCCGCGGCCGGGGTCAGTTGGCAGGTGATTTCCTCCCCTAGGGCATGCGGCGGGACGCTGTGTGCTCCTCGGACCCTGTCCTGCACCACCTGCTGCTTCTCCCTGGAGCCCCTGCTGAGCTGTCCTCCTGTCACCTACAGGGGCTCAGCCTCAGGTGCTACCTCTTCTGTCATCCTGTCCCGCTTCTAGTCCCCGGACCCCACGGGGCCTCTGCCCATCTTGCCCTCCCCTTTCCCCCACACTGGGCATGGGCTCCTCAGCCCTGCACCCAAGAGGTCGGCGTGGCTGGAGACAAACCCCAAGAGGGCTGCCTCTTCCACTTCCAATTACTGAGTGCTGACTCTGGCGGGCCCCCGGGCAGCCCCCTCTATGCCCCTCTGTGCTGGTTCCCCACGCCTTCACTCTGACTCCCGGCCCCTCCCTGCTTCCCCAGCCTCAGCAGGCCAAGCCTTCTTGGTTCATGGAGAAAACGAGAGCGTTCCAAAGAGACCTCCTAACCGTCCCCCTGCTTCCCCACAGCCGCCCCCCTCTGCTCCTGTCCGATGGGGCAGCTGGCCACCTGCCCTCCTGCTGGGGGGACATTGCTCCTCACCTGTCCCTTCTCTCCTGGGTCATCCTCATTGTCATCCAAACATGATGGAATATTTCCTGCCAACACCTTGTGTCTTTGAATAATTTCCAAATGTTGCATGCCCATCTTGTCACGTATCCCTTCCATAAGTGTGTCTGCACTCGAGTAGGTGTGTGAAGCTCAGGAAATTGTGCATCAGTTGCATCTGGAAATAGGACCTGGGCTACCCAGAAACTGACCCCTCCCACCCACCCCCGGGCCTTTCCAAAGCTAATGATGTCTCCGTCTGCCTGTTGCACAACCCCGTGTGAAGACTGATGAGGACTAAAAGCTAAAGCTGACCGTAACCCATCCCTTCTTGTGCATTAGAGTCCATCAGCGGGCCCTGCCTTGTATTAAAATACTTTTCCTCTCCCAGGACATGGGCAAATTTTGCCTGACGTACGAGGCCTCCATGACCCGGCTCTTCCGAGAGGGGAGGACGGAGACCGTGCGTTCCTGTACCGCTGAGTCGTGCAACTTTGTGCTCGCCATGGTGGACCCCACCCAGACGGTAAGCTGGCTCCAGGCTGAGGAGGTCCCGTGCCCACCTTCTCCGGGGGTACCGAATTCAGCTTCTCTCCCCGTCTCTTTTCAAGGGAGCTAAACGGGATCGGGACACACACACAGAGGTTAACGCTTGCGTCGGTTCTGTAATGTCTGCGAATCAGCTTGGACTCCCTAGGAGTCTGCACTAGAATCTCACATGGCATGGGGAGGCATGGGAGTTGGTGTGTGGGTGAGGAGCCTGGAACCGTGCCATGGAACCTTCTACTCGGGGTCAACGGAGCCCACTGCCCACACCCAAGCTCCCCCCACAGGCTCGGGGCTCGGGTTTTCCCTCGGGTTGCCCCGTCGGCAGCCTGATCTGGGGAGGGGGCAGCTGCTCGGGGGGGCTTCCACTCTGGCACTCTCTCCCGGAGACCCCCCGGTCGCCTGCTTAAATGGTGCCATCGGGCCCCTGCAGAGAAGGCTCATGTGGTCCATCCTGCAGGACGTGACTCTCCCACCCTTTGTTGCTCAGGTTGAGCAGAGGCTCAGGTTGTTCCAGATCGCATCCGAGAAGCACCAGCATCTGTACCGACTCGCAATGACTGGCTCTGGGATCGACCGCCATCTCTTCTGTCTTTATGTGGTGTCCAAATACCTGGCCGTGGACTCCCCTTTCCTGAAGGAAGTAAGTCCCTGCTGCTAGAGTGGCCGCTTGCCCAGGTTTCTTGGCTAAGCTGAGAGTGAGTCAGGGCAGCCTCACCAGTGGGTCTTCGGGCTCAGCTGTCATCATGGTATCAAATCTGAGCTGTGCTTTTAGTGCTGTGCCCCTTCAGTCCCCCGGGAATGCTGTGTGTCACACGTATCCTCCTGACCTCCTCGACGCAAATGACCTCAAGCTTGGGTCATTGTAAGGTGTACTCGAGTAATTAGGAAGTGATGAGCCCTTGAGTGTTTATCACTCTTGTTTTTAATACAGTTTATTTAATTTTAAGGTATGGAATTTAACTTTAAATAATGCTGTGTTGAACAGCAGCTTGAAAATTTCCTCAAGATTAGCTCCAGCAGGGCACGGCCCCCTTTCTGAATCTTAGTTCGTGTATCTGCCCCCTTTTTTCTGCTGGTGTTGGCCCCTCCAGGCCAGATGCCCTCTCTGCGCACGTACTGGCCCGAGCCAGCGAGGCCATCAGGGACGCAGACCTCCGGCGTCCAGACAGCCTGGAGACCCAGCGAGCCTCTCCCTGTCTCCCCCCGGGGCTGAGCAGGGACAGAAGAGGACAGCAGTGGGAAAAGTGTCATTAGAGAATCTCCTTGTTCTACTCAATAGGTTTTATCTGAGCCGTGGAGATTATCGACCAGCCAGACTCCTCAGCAGCAGGTGGAGCTGTTTGATTTGGAGAGGAATCCGGAATATGTGTCCAGCGGAGGGGGCTTCGGGCCAGTAAGTGTCTGAGTGTAGATATACATGGAGCTGTATATCTGGGGACTGGACGTGCCCGTCCGCCTCCACTGTGGGTCTTCGTGGACTCTGAGCGCTCCTCGTTTCCTTGTTGGTGAACCCCCACCCACCCCGAGGAATTCTGCAGATGATTAATGCAGGTGTTTACGCTGTCTTGTCTGTAAAATGTGAGAGAGTCCCCTTTCCACATCCTCTCGTTCCCCGAGGTTAAACTTCATCTTACCTGGTTCTGTAGGTCGCCGACGATGGTTATGGCGTGTCATACATCCTCGTGGGAGAGAACCTCATCAGTTTCCATATATCTTCCAAGTTCTCCAGCCCTGAGACCGTAAGTTCAAAATGAAGCCCCCTTTCCTAAAGATGGAGTATTTTTACTGTTTCCTTTTTCATTTGACAGACATGTTTTTCCTTAATTTGACAGAAAATAGAAGTTCGACTATATGCTTTTACTCAGTTTGGGCATTTTCAATAAATGAGTTTTTAAATTCTTTCACCTAATTTTATTTTATTTTTTAAAGATTTTATTATTTGAGAGAGAGATCGAGCATGAACGGGGGGCAGGGAGGGGCAGAGGGAGAGGGAGAAGCAGACTCCCTTCTGAGGAGGGAGCACGACAAGGGACTCAATCCCAGGACCCTGAGATCATGACCTGAGCCGAAGACAGATGCTTAACCGACTGAGCCACCCAGGCGCCCCTCTTTAACCTAATTTTAAAGAAATGATCTTATTTGGTTGCAAACGTTTGTCTTTGCCTATAGCGATGGTCTTAAATCTTCACGTGGGAGTGCTTGTATAATTCTCAGACTCTGATATCGGAGGGTGGATGGAGGTCAGCACGCACATGCTAAGGAGAACGCATATAAGATGACGCAGGGCCTGCAATGTTCTGTGGGAGTGGAAAACGTGACTTCCTCCCTAGCATGGCACCCTGAATCCTTGTTTCTATTCTGCCTTTCCACGTTGTGTATCCCCTGAAAGCACAGCCAAGTTCACCGTTAGCAGAGAGGATTGGAATTCACTTATTTATTGTGCTTTATGTGATGCGTTGATGTTAGGGGAAGCCTTGCATCAAGACGACAGCCATGTGAACTTAGAAACTGTTATCTCTTTGAACCCGCAGCGTTTCTCCAGAACGTGTAACTTAGTGATTAAGCCATTCAGCCAGAGCCCAGAGAACTGGCAAAAAAGGAACTTTTGTTCTTTGAGTCAGGTTCCAAGTGTAAAGGCTTGAAGCGTGGGGGTTTCCATGTTGTAACGTGCGTTTTCGTTTTTTGTCTTCACACGAAAGGACTCGCATCGCTTTGGGAAGCACCTGAAACAAGCAATGACTGACATCATCAGCTTGTTTGGGTCCAGCGCCAACTCCAGAAAGTAATTCCGCTAGAGCCGTCGTGAAGGAAAACGAGCTCTTCCGATGAAAAACCAAATGAAAATTAGCTGTCGATCCTGATTGTAGTTCAGGATGCAAATTTGCTCTACAAAACTCAGAAGTTTTCCTTCCATTGAGGGTTTGGTGTTTTTCTTTTTATAGAACAGCAGGCCTCCACCACGTGAAGTGTAACTACTTCCTGGCAGGTCCTGACTTTGGGAATGTTTTGATAAAGTGCTCCCCCTCCCCAAAAGTTTTTGCATCTGCCTGTGTTGACTGAGGGACGAGAATATGGTTGAGCTCTTGAAGGGATTAGTGGGGTTGTGACTTCACACATTGGACATGCAAGTGGCACGTTTCCTCGCGGAGTGACCCAAGACCTGGTACTTAGGGGCATTTCCTTTTAGCAGAGCTGCTTTTGTGCAGAGAGGAAAGTGGTCGAGTTTTGGAGAGGTTAACCATTCGTAGCTGACGCATGTGAAACGCACTAACGGAGATACTGTGCTTCTGGAAACAGTTTTTGTCACTGTGGGTAACTGTGTCATCAGCCGATTTGGTAGCCTGTATTTGCCTCCCTGTGTTGGAAGTGCGTAGTCCGCCCCATCTTTAGTTTTACTGACCGTGCAAGTCTTCAAAACCCAGTGCCTTAAAAGCGGGAGGCCCTAAGCGAAAGGGAGACCGTGGGAAAGATTTCCTGTGTCAGGTCTTCAGGTGGACTTGTGAGTGTCTTGCTCCCCTTCTCAATTTAGCGAATGGGTAACCCTTAAATAAGTGTTTCCTATGGTTTCCCTGCCCCTAGAAAGGCCAGTTCCCTCCTGAGGGCAGCCGGGCTGGATTCCCCCATCATCAGACTGCTTTCCTTGTGTCATTAAGCAACAAAAGAAAGGGTGTGTGTGTGTGTGTGTGTGTGTGAGAGAGAGAGAGACAGAGAGAGAGAGAGATGGGGAGCAAGGGATGTCATGGTCAAGTGTGAGGTGTCTGGAGCAGTCACTGAAGAAGAAAGGATAAGCCGTGGCTCTGGAGCACCCCTTACCCAAGCTGACAGCAAGGGAGGGCATGACATTTACCGCTGACAAAGGAATAAAGCTTGAGAAACAGGAAGAATAGCCTCAAAATGGTCAGGAGAGTGCAGCGCCAGTCAGCTCCAAGAGTGCTTTCGAGTCCCACCTGGCGAGAGAGAACCACTCTCCTTTCCAGAGGAGATGGGGGGAGATGGAAACGGCAGGCCACGTCATCTTGGTGACGGATGAAAATGTCGCAGGTGACAGGTGCTAGGTTTAACACAGCCTGCCCTTCAGATGGGTGTGCCTTTGTCTGAAAGCGTCTGACCGACCAAAAAGCAATTATGCACTGAATCGTCTTCAGTATTTAATGTAAAAATAAAGGATCACGGAACGAGAAAGACCCACTGCCTCCGGGCCATAATGACCAGCTTAGCTGTCCATTTTTAAAACTGTGTATTTATTCTTCTGACCACTCTGTTCTGGTGGGGCCTGCCTCTGTGAGAGCTGTGCGCTCCGGCGATTACCAGGCGGGGCTGTTGGAGGAGACGGGCGCCTGCCGCAGCGCACCTCCATATTTTATATATGTATATGTGATAATGTAAAAATCCCACCTAAACGGGCCAAAGATTTTTTTTTCTCTTAAAAGCAAGAAGAAATGAAAACACACAAAAAACTAAAGTGAAAACCAACAAGTACAGTAACAACCCCCGCCCCCCATTCATCCATGGTTCATAGTGGAGGAGGTGTGGGGGGAAATGGCCCACTCTGCCCTGGCCCGGCGTGGCTTCCAGTCAGAGCAGGCATCAGTCACTATCAGAGCCACCCCAACCCTCTGCTATCGACCACTGACCTTAGCGTTCCCATGTGAATTCCAATGTAGCCGTGGAGCACTCAAACACGTTTGGGCTCGTCTCTCAGGTTTAAATATTTCAAATGTAATTAATTGTTAACCAGTGCAGTTACCAATGCAATTTTATATTTCCTAAAAGAAGGAAGAGTGGGTTTTTATTGTACATGTTGAAAGGAGGAGGGAAGAGTATTATGTATTTAATTTAATTTGGAATAAGCCATAGTCTTAAAAGAGCTGTGGTTTGAATTTGTTATCTTGGGCTGTCCATTGCATGTAAATACAAGATGCTCTTTTGGATGTAAATCTGGGAACTGTAGTATGAATGTTATCATTAATAAAACATTAATCCCAGCCTTTGTTTCTGGCTCTTTTGTTATATGAATAAAGAGGTTAGAAGTCAGGGATGAAGCCCAGGCGCTAGAGACAAAGGAGAGAGACCGCAGGAGGCTTGCACAGATGGCCCGGCCTGGGCAGAGTGGACATGACAAGGTTCACTGACCTGGCTGACAAGGGCAGCTGCTGAGTTGGGCTGTGGGTTTCCACTCTACGTTTATGCATTCTCTCCCTGCTCCCATGCCCGGAACGGTGTCTGACACATAGTACGTACGAATCAAGTATCTGTTAAGCAAACGCATGAATTCAGTTTTCTCAATAGTCTTTTTTTTTTTTTTAAAGATTTTATTTATTTATTTGACAGAGAAAGACACAGTGAGAGAGGGAACACAAGCAGGGGGAGTGGGAGAGGGAGAAGCAGACTCCCCGCCGAGCAGGGAGCCCGATGTGGGACTCTATCCAGGGACTCCAGGATCATGACCTGAGCCGAAGGCAGTCGCTTAACCAACTGAGCCACCCAGGCGCCCTCAATAGTCTTTATTGAGCGCCTACTGTGTACTAAGCTCGGTACAGCGGGGACAGCATCAGGCTTTGGCGGTGGTGGAGATCAAATCCAGTGGGAGGAGGACAGAATCAAGACAACCATTCAAAGGATCCTCAGTGTCCAAGGCAGATGAGAGGATCACGTGTGGGCAGAGGTAGCTGGCTGAGAAAGGCGGCCGATTTGAGGGGAGGCCTGACTCACGAGCAGCTGGCTTTGGCTGATCCAGCAGGGCTGGAAGAGCATCTAGGAGTGTTGCAGAGGTCCTGGGCCTTCGAGTCTGGCCAGTTTGTGAGTCACCCAGGTGGCTGTGCACATCTGATGCTTGGGAGCAGCTCTGTAAAAATGTGTGAATGGTACGGTCTTGTGGGTTGATGTGCTTGCTCAGGCTACTCAAGCTAGTCAGATTTTATTTTTTTAATGAGGGCTCTTCAGTTTATATCAACCGCATTCTCAGTCCTGCCCTGAACTCAACTGACTTCAACTGTGATGTGATTATGTTTCAGCCATAAACCCAGAGTAAGGCCACCTACGCATGCAGCTGTCTGTGGGGCCCTGGAAAGGCCGGAAGGACACACAGCTGACTTAAATGTCCCCTTTAGCAGGCAGCACGCCTGGGGATGGCATGGTCCTTAAGGGAACTTCGGCTCTATCTGTAATGTTTAAATATTTCAGTATAGAGTTTATTATGCAGCGAAAGAAAAGAATCTATCCTGATTTTGCTCTGAAGAAGTCAGACTGGTCTGGGGGCCTCAGTTTCCCCATGTGAGCCTGGAGCTGAGGACCCTGGGAGCGCCCTTTCCGGCCCCCCTTCCCGCAACAGCCCGCCCCCGCCCCCGCCCCCGCCCGCGCCCCCGCCCGGGCCGCCCTGCTCGCCGCGAGCCCCGCCCACGCCCCTCCCCCGGGTCGGCCCCGCCCGTCGGGGCCCCGCCCATCGGCGCGCCGCCCGCGTGAGCTCCGCCCCTAACCGCCAACGGCCGCCGGCACGAGAGGGGCCGGCTCCCCAGCCCGGCGTCCTCGCTCGGCGCTCCGGCAGCGGCAGCCGCGGCGGCCCCAGGTGTGTCCCCCGGAGGAGGCCTGACCCCGCGCCCCTCCGGCCGCCGTCGGGTCTGCCCGCTGTCCCTCGGCCGGGCCTAGGGGTCTGCAGGCGGGAGGGGGACAGTGGGCCCCCCGGTCGGCCCCTCGGGGGCGGCGGGACCCCAGACCGGGTCATCCCCTCGGGCGCGGAGGGACCCTCCCCCGGTCGGCCCCTCGGGCGCGGAGGGACCCCCGCCCCGGTCGGCCCTTCGGGAGCGGAGGGACCCCTTCCCCGTCGGCCTCTCGGGAACGGAGGGACCCCCTTCCCGGTCGGCCCCTCGGGCGCGGAGGGACCCCCGCCCCGGTCGGCCCTTCGGGCGCGGAGGGACCCCCCCCGGTCGGCCCCTAGGGAACGGAGGGACCCCCCCCCCCACCTCCCCGGTCGGCCCCTCGGGCGCGGAGGGACCCCCCCCCCGGTCGGCCCCTAGGGAACGGAGGGACCCCTCCCCACCTCCCCGGTCGGCCCCTCGGGCGCGGAGGGACCCCCCCCCTTCCCGGTCGGCCCCTCGGGAACGGAGGACCCCCGCCCCGGTCGGCCCCTCGGGAACGGAGGGACCCCCGCCCCGGTCGGCCCCTCGGAAGCGGAGGGACCCCCGCCCCGGTCGGCCCTTCGGGCGCGGAGGGACCCCCCCCCCCACCTCCCCGGTCGGCCCCTCGGGCGCGGAGGGACCCCCCCCCTTCCCGGTCGGCCCCTCGGGAACGGAGGACCCCCGCCCCGGTCGGCCCCTCGGGAACGGAGGGACCCCCGCCCCGGTCGGCCCCTCGGAAGCGGAGGGACCCCCGCCCCGGTCGGCCCTTCGGGCGCGGAGGGACCCCCCCCCCCACCTCCCCGGTCGGCCCCTCGGGCGCGGAGGGACCCCCCCCCTTCCCGGTCGGCCCCTCGGGAACGGAGGACCCCCGCCCCGGTCGGCCCCTCGGGAACGGAGGGACCCCCGCCCCGGTCGGCCCCTCGGAAGCGGAGGGACCCCCGCCCCGGTCGGCCCTTCGGGCGCGGAGGGACCCCCCCCCCACCTCCCCGGTCGGCCCCTCGGGCGCGGAGGGACCCCCCCCTTCCCGGTCGGCCCCTCGGGAACGGAGGACCCCCGCCCCGGTCGGCCCCTCGGAAGCGGAGGGACCCCCCACCCACCTCCCCGGTCGGCCCCTCGGGCGCGGAGGGACCCCCCCCCCTTCCCGGTCGGCCCCTTGGGAACGGAGGACCCCCGCCCCGGTCGGCCCCTCGGGCGCGGAAGGACCCCCCCCTCCCCGGTCGGCCCCTCGGGAACGGAGGACCCCCGCCCCGGTCGGCCCCTCTGGTGCGGAGGACCCGCTGGGGAGCCCGGGCGGGGCGGAGCCGTGCCCGCCTCACCTGGCCACGTCATTGCAGGTGCTCGGCTCCCGGCCGGAATCCGCGTAGCGAGGGGTGCGTGGCGATGCCCAGCCCGAGGTCCCCTCAGTGGACATGGAAGAGGCCCCTCTGCTTGGCGGGATGTCCAGTCCCGAGGAGGAGATCGTGACAGACCTTTTCAGTGCAGAGAGTCCGTTTTTTCCTGAAAACCTTACCCTGAAAACCCCCGTGGTGGTGAAGCACGAGGAGGACGAGTTCCACGTGTTTAAAGACGCGTATCTGAGCTCCGCGGACCCCAAGGAGCCCCTCCTGCACGCGTTCAACCCCCCGCTTCACGTGGACTGTGAGAGTCAAGTCAAAGTGGAGCTCGTGGTGGACGACAACGACGATGAGGAGATGCTCCCGGAGTACCCCAGTCTCCCCGAGCTCAGCCCCCTGGAGGACGCCGCGCTGCCTGTTGCCCCGCAGCCGCAGGCCTACAACGTGCACTTCCTGTCCTCCCTGCTGGCCCCGCACAGGAGTCCTGCTGTCGTGCCCCTGGGCGCCTGGGCCAGGGAAGGAGCCGCCCACCCCGGTGTCCGGGTGATTCCAGTAAGATCCATGTGGGCAACGGGCGCGGGACCTCCGCCACCCCCTCGGAAATAGAGAAGTGAGACCACTGGCCCGGGCCAAGTTTTCCCTCACAAGCGTTTTCCCGGGGTCACTAGCATCCCCGGTTGGATTCACTGGTTCCAACCGAGCATCTCCCTCTGTAAGGCCCCTGGGCACTGGTTCAAAGTGGCCTAAGGCTGCAGAGAGCAAACAGCAGAAGAGGACGAGAGCGGGGAAGTATGCGGCCCCTCTTGCTGTCCCTCACTGGCTTTAGGAGAGAAGCCCTGTTTATGTTAGAGGCACTAGCGTCTGGGGAGAAAGTGCAGCGTGATGGTTTTCATGTAGTCATGAAATCAAGACGTGAGAGCTTCTCTCTGCTAATACAGCATTGTTCCTCAAGCATATGTAATATAAATCAGTCTACACTAATTCCTGCTAATTCTCTGCTAACTACCCTCTTTTGCTGTCACCACTGGTGATTTTCTGCTTTGTTCTTGCCAAGACGAAACAAATCAGTTTTCAAAGGAAACAAAGGATCCCAAAGAAATGGGTACTGGCCCCCTAAGAGGATCTAGTTTGAAAAACTCGCTCACTCAGCCCTTAAATCACGGTAGTAAGTTACAAGGGAAGCGTCTGGGAGCTCTCCGGAGTTGGTGTTGGCACGACTGTAGCCTGACTGCCTGTATCATGAGCCGTAGCGGCAGGGGCTTGGATGTCTGCCTTTCTGGTTTTCCCTCAGTGCAGTCACTGCTCCTTAGTGTTCAGGAAAGATGGGAGGAGAGGCTGGGCTTCCACCACCCTCTCAGCTTACATGGAGGAACCCTAGAGCTCACCCAAGTCCTAACAGCCTTCACCTATGGTAGAGGTCTTCCTTGAATCTTGTTCAGTTGGCTTGAAATGTCAGCCACTCCATTTTGCTTCCAGACCAAACTTGGGTTCCTGGCACCTTTTGCCTGTTAGGCCTCTAGTCCGGCTACCTTCCTGTACAAAGTGGACTCAGTGAGAATTCACCAGAACAGGAATGGAACTAGCTCATGTCAAAATCATAAATTCCCTTTTAATGTAATCCAATTTTAACAAAATGTAGGTTTGACAAAATAAAGGAGAGGCTATTTGGATGATATTTCTTTGCTTTTTTAAAAAAAAAATTTATTTCCTGTTTCCTAGTTAACTAGTAAAATGAAAAAGATACAGTATGAACATGTTTCTCATTTAAACAGAATGGGATTATTTTTTTTTAGCAAATACTGAGGATGAATTGCTAATTTCCTTTTTCTAGAAATTCATTCCCACATTGACCTTTCTTTATATCGCTTCAGTAAAAATGGGACTTTACTGAGTATAAGTAGTTCAGATCATAGTTGCATGCGGCTGAGGAGTTGATACATTTACTGTATAAGTACTTGTTAATTACAAGGTGGTAAATTAAATCTAAACTCTGATGGCACCTACCTGCCTGGCAAGTTCCTCAAAGCAGAAAGCAGAAGAAAATTTAAAATTTTTTCTTTCTATCAAATGTGAATTATCAAAATAAAGCCATAACTTGAAATACAGCTAAACCTTCCTTTTTTTAAAGATTTATACCTTCATGCCAGTCTGCTGTGCTAAGGAACCTGCCAGGAATTTTTATCCGTGTGGGTCACTGATTTCACCGTTTGACATCTCCAAGTTTGCATCCACAGCCACACCTAGAAAGATCATCATTATCTGTGCTGTGATTTTATATGAGGTCTTCAGAACGTTACCCTAGAATCACCGTCTTCTTGGAAAGACTCTAGGACCTGCCTCCTGGCCTTTGCGGAGGCTCCCCTGTATTCTGCAATGGGCACTCTGGACAGGTGAATGTTCAGGAGGGCGCGGCCGATGCCATCCCAATCCTCCTCACATAAGCAAATTTTAGAAAGGATCCTCACGATTTGGGAACACTTGAATCTTAATTTTAACCATTGAGTCTTTTTAGTTTTTAAATTCCGTTGGTTTTCAGTAGTACCGTTGGCATTTCGCCCTCTCTCTGGTGATCTTGCTGTGTGTCCCTGAGATGGCAGATGTTGCAGAAGATCGCCTAGAGACGACGCTGGCCACTCCCTGTGCCCTCACTTACCGTCCTGCCGCGCAGTCAGGAGAGTGCTGTTGTGTAATTTGAGTTTTGCCGTAAATACATGGTCAATATTACCTCTGATACGTCAGCAAGGATTGGGGGCTTCTTGAGAAAAAACCAAATCAACTGGAATATTTCATACAACTTAATGAGCATGCTCTAAGAACGGTGAGAAAGGGTCAGTATCTGAGGCCATTTCAAGGAAGGCACCCCCAAGGCGGCCAGCCCCTGTAGAGTGGGGGGGCTGTTGAGCCCCTCGAGGGGCACCGGGCCAGTGGGGGCATCTTCTCAGTTCCTTATGCCGTGTGTTTGAAACAGTATGAGCACCACATTGAAATCACATCTCCATACTTTGTGGGCAGATGGTTTTGGTCCTCAGGGTCCTTCCTCCCCAGCGAGGCTGATCGGATGACTTATCACCCCTCCTTGTTGCCCCCCATAGGGAAAATGATAGGGAGGGAGAGAAGTAAAGGTAAGGGGGCTCTTTACTTAAAACATAACTTCTACAGAGAATTTTCTATAGAATGCAACTGTGAAACCCAGTGTCCACAGTGTGGTTTCTAAAATAACAATTGCTTTTTTTAGGTGGAAATAAAGGAGGCAGGTGGTACAGTTATAAGTAACAATCCCGAGGAAGCAACTTTTCAGAACCCTCTTGGTCCAGAATCCTGTTGCAAGTTCCCCTCGTCACAAGAAGCAGAGGACGCCTCTGACCACTCTCACAAAAAAGACTCTAACCCAATGGTAATGATGCCAAAGGAAATGTGTCTGACATTATCTTAAATGTTTGATTCTGATCATTGCTAATTCAATAGGAATCGTTGATTTCAGTCACTGTTTTTCATTCTTTTTTTTTAAAGATTTTATTTGACAGAGAGAGACACAGTGAGAGAGGGAACACAAGCAGGGAGAGTGGGAGAGGGAGAAGCAGGCTTCCCGAGGAGCAGGGAGCCCGATGCGGGACTCGATCCCAGGACCCTGGGATCATGACCTGAGCCGAAGGCAGACGCTTAACGACCGAGCCACCCAGGCGCCCCACTCTTCTTACTTATTGAATCCACATTTTTGGCTGCCTCATCTATCAAAAGAGGGACGTAGTGAGAACCTCTCTAATGCTCTGTTCACGTCTGAGATTACCATTTCCTGGGTCTTAGCAAACCAAACAAAGATGAGGACATTGCTGTCCTTGCTAAGGAGGGTAAGCGCAAGTCTCCTTGGGCAGTGCAGACCTGGGGTGGGCCCAGGGCTGGGGCAGCCTGCAGAGCTGTGTGGTTTGGCAGGTGGGGCGGGTAGAGGGAGCTCTGCTTCTGTGGCTCTTTCCCTTCCTAATAACACCAAATTCAAATACCTAATACTTCCAAATTCCTAATAATAGCAAGTGGCACTCGCATGACATAGTTCATAACATGTGTGGTTCATGTGATTGTTTGACATGTTCGTACTTTCATTTAATCCTCCTGTGACTGCTGTAGGCTAGTCATATTTTTATCTACATTTCATGCATGAGAAAAGAGAGAGAGAGAGTCATACATGGTCTGCTTGTAAGTGGTGCATCTGGGACTCCAGGTCTGAGTGTGGTGAGGACAGGGAAGGAGGAGAGCCAGAGAATTGGGCCCCAACTGTTCTAGCAAATAGTCCAAAGAACCAGAGATTGCCTTTTCCCTGGCAGCTCTTTATTCCAAGAAAGGTGGCCTAAGCTCTAAGGCACATACTTTAACTAGGAAATAACTGGAAAATGAGCTCATCATGAACTTTGGCTTACCTATGGCATACACCAGTATCTGCCTGTCTGTCTTTGGTCCTGCTCAGGCACGTGGGTTCTGAGAGCTGAGCTTGTGCAGGATGCCTGGACCAGGTGAGCAGGGTAGGAACTCTTCTAGTTACACCAGACTACTGAGTAGCATGCACGAGGTCCTGGGGGGCACGGCAGAGCCCAGGAGAACCCACTCTTTATCCGTTTTGTGCACCTCTGTGTGTGTGGGGGGGGGCTATAACTTTGTCCTCTGAATACAAATAAAATTCCAACCAAACATGAATACTGGCCTCTTATCCAATGTCAGCGTGATGTAAAGGTTTGACCCAGTGATCAGCACTTTGTTAACGTAGGCTCTGCGGGTGTTATTCTGCTAACATCGATCCTTTGTGCTTATTTGGGGTTTCCTGTCTGGGAAACCCAAAGGCAACCTAAAGTCAGAAACCACAGCTTCTCTGGGTATCTGTGGTTTTACCATCAGAATTAAAAGCTGTGTGTGGGCAGAAACCATGATTTTTCTTGCCTTCACATTCACGCTGCATTGTCCTGGACGGGACTGCAGCCAGTGAGGGGCTCCATCCATCTATGCTTCGCTTGACTTGTGTCTTTGACTGACGGACTCACCTGGCTCACTGAGGAATCATTTATGGTCAGAATCCAACGAGGTGATCTGAGATTGCCAGTCAGGCCCAAGAAGACTGACATGGCTTCTTAGAATCTTCTAGTTCTTGGATTAACCTTTCTGAACTGTACTTGTAGGAAATAAAATAAATGGACATTTAAAAAAAACCCCACATGTAAAATAATAGTATGTGTGTGTAGCAGGATAGAATAACTCATAAAATATAAGATTATTCTAAGTATCTGATCAGCTCCAGAGATGAAGTCGGGGATGAAGTCTTTCTTACAGTTAACTGGATCTAATGGGGCTGGGGTTGGGCAGATCACCACACTCTTCATTCACGCAGACAGTGGAGTGTAAGGATGGGGAAGGAAGCTCGGTGCATAGTCACCTGATCCTTACCCTAAACCTCCATGGGAGGAAGGCATGAGCAGGAACTTGCACTCACACATGGAGCACATCTCACAAAACACTGAGGGATTGTAGCGTAAGAAATCAAGAACAGATCTTTAGCTTGCCATTTTCCATTAAAACTGAAATTCTGGATTAAAGTTACTTTCTCAGATTTAAGTTGATTTAGGTTCATATTACTGGATATCTTTTAAAAATGAAACCTGATCATTATTTTTCATTTTAGGTGATATGTCAGTTGAAAGGGGGTACACAAATGCTGTGTATAGACAATTCTGGCACAAGAGAACTAAAAGCACTTCATTTGGTTCCTCAGTATCAAGACCAAAATAATTATCTACAGTCAGGTACCGAGTACAATAATAAAAAAATTATGTCATATATGTAAGTTGGTAAGTGAATATGTTTGGCTTTGTATATAGAGTAAAAGTAAAATAGGCAGTTAGGTTATTAAATAGGCAATTTGGCAAACCTGTTAGCCCTTATGAGTGAACTAAGAATAGAAACAAAAATCTTCATAGACTAACTTACGTACATTGTGTTTTTGGAGAGTTATGCTCCACTTCGGCTAGCTGCAGAGGGCTTGTGATCCTAACAGGCCATTGCTGGTACCAGCAGGTGGGTGTGCCGAGAGGGGGCCGGGTTGAAACATCAGCCTTTCCCAGGTTGGGTAGGGGGTTGACAGTTCAGGTGTGGTTTAGACTGTATACATTTTAATGGAAGCATTTTCATGTAATCAGGGAGAACTATGACTATGCTTCCATCAACATGAGTTTTGAAATAGATCAAATGCTGATTTTTCTCTGCCATTCTCTCAGAAACATCTTTAAACTGGCATAGTAATAATAAATGACCTATAAGTACTTAATTATCCTCAAATTACTTATAAATGATTAAAGATAGAATAATGACATAGTTTTAGGATTGTGTTTACAAAAGTTAGACCCTAATTCTTGAAAACTAGGCATGTCTATGTGGATTATATACATAATCATGTTATTCTAACTCTTGAGTTAATCAGAATATTTTAATTATCAGATGTTTTGCTGAACTTGCCAATGATTTATTTATTTTTGTTTTATTTTTTTGTTGAAGTATAATTAATCTACCACATTATATTCGTTTCATTTGTACAACAGTGATTTGAGGTTTGTATACATTGGGAACTGATCGACATAGTAAGTCTAGTTACCATCTGTTGCTACACAAAGTTGATACAATGTTATTGACTTATGTTCCCCATGCTGTACTTGCCAATAATTTAGATCAGTATTAAATACAGATGTCATTTCAGTGGTACTTCAGAGTTCAGGGCTAAAAGAGACATTGTAACTCCTATTCCATCCTGATAGTCTCTTTATTTAGGGACAGATAAAATGCCTTTAAGACATTTGCTTTTCTGTGATTCGGAATCGGGGCTGGAGTTTTGTCTTCCAGAAGCCCTTTGTCCATACCCACCACGGATCATCTGGCTCCATTTCCTGTAAGTCAGAGCGGTATCTGATCCTCTGCACAAGCAGGGAGAGCTTCTTTCCTAATTCCCTTCCTTCTGGAACATGACAAAATCCTAATACCTTTAGGTCCACGAAAGGAAAGAGTTTATATAATGTTCTCCAAATCTACTTCCTTGTCATATATTCATAACCCCCTCACCATGTACCTGTGAAATACCAGCATAAGAGAAATGCATCCTGTTACCAAAGACTCAAGGTAACATCACTCAAAGATGCATAAACCCGGAGCAGGAAATGTGTTTAGCTGTTAGGTGATTCAAGACCCTAAGACACATTTCTCCCTCTGCCTTTACTTATGAGCACTGAGGTTTGCAAGGCCTGTGGTGTCTCAGGAATGTTTTTCACAGCACCCTTAGACCAAAGAAATACCGATCAGTTCCAGTAGTTAAATAGTTTGGTCCAAACAGCCTAATAAGTATTTATATCCTAGCAAGTTAGTAACCATTTGGAAAAAAAGAATACACATAAATCGGAAGTAGTTCACGTGGTGTCCAACAGATGTCGCTGTGCTTTCCTTGAAAGTGTGACATATCCAGGGACTGCCTGGTGGGTTTGCTGTGGCACCTGAAGGCACCTTGGCACATAGCCACAGCTTGGGAGCCTGGGCACTAGCAACAGTTTTGTTTTGTTTCGTTTTGTTTTGCTTACAGTATAGTAGACTATCCCTGGAAGCTTAAGTTAAGCAGCTTTAGGACCAAGAGAAAGGGTATAATAATTAAAAATAATAATAATACATTGACTCAAAAGGTTTTACAGGATAAAAAAACAAATAGGATCAAGATAAGTTTAAATGATTTTGCACATGATAAATCCATGATCATTTTTGTACTTTGTCCATGTGCAAGTAGAAAAGGAACAATATATGTTATCAATTAATTTTAATTGTCTTCCTTACAGATGTCCCTAAACCAATGACTACTTTAGTAGGAAGATTTTTGCCAGTACCAGCAAAATTAAATCTCATTACACAACAAGTGAGTCATTGTTTTAATAAAAAAAAAAAAATACAATTGGGCACTATTTTCTCTTAAAATTTCAATTGTTGAAGTTGGAACTACTCAGGAAACAAAATTTATCTTCTTTTTTTTTTTTTTTTTCAAATCAACAGTGAAAGCTTTATAAGTATTCAGTGCCTCCAGCGCTGTGTCAGACATTGGGGGTCGGGAGGGAATGGCATGGGTTCAAGACACGGTTCTGGGCGAGCCCTGTGGGGCTGTCTTGCTTGCCCTCTCCGACAGCCTCCAGACTATCCTTCTGCCCCATTTGCTGGACTTGTCCTTTGTGGCCCTGCTGTCCATCCACCAGGACACACCACCCATTTGGTGTGGAACATTCCTCACCTTCCTTGGTGGAATGGAAATGCTTTTTTAGAGTTTAAAATGCTGTTATGATTGCACCGTAATATGCATATCCTAAATATAAGACAAATGTGTTCTTTTCTCTAAGTCTTGATATAAAATGTCACCGCCCCAGAAGAGCCTTTCAAGACTCCCTGGGGTTGACAGTCACTGTCACGGCACCTGATTCTCTGCCCGGCACTGTCCTGGTCTTGCGTCTTTTGGTTTGTTCATTTGTCTGTGTCTACCCACAGGTACGCCAGGTTCACAGGAGTAGAGATCTTGTGAGTCTAGTTTGTCTCTGTGAACTGAGACCTGGAATGAAGCCTGGCATGTATAGGACAGTCACACAGAGTGACTTTCATTCAGTAGGGCCGGCGCTGGTCCGAGCACTTGGACCACATCAGTGATCCCCCCAAACAAAAGCAAAAGGACACATGGGACTCTGCCCCCTGCAGCTTACATTTTAGTGTGGGAGACAGACAATACAGGCAAATCTAGTAAATAAACTATATTGTATGCTAGGAGAGCAGAGGATGGGCGTAGGGTACAGAGGTTCCGTGGGGAGGAAGGCAGGATGCCAGTCACAGTTGGCTCCGTTGAGAAGGTGACAGTTGAGGCAAATCTTGAGAGGAGACGGTGAGCTGTGTGACTATCACATGGAAGAACATTCCAGGCAAGCAGAACAGCAGAACACAGGGTCAGCCTGCTGTCAAGACAGCAAGGAGGAGGCCAGAGGGGAGGGGACGGAGTGAGCAAGAGGAAGGTAGCAGAAGGAAATGGAAGATGAGGAAGCACAGGGCTGGGGAAGGAGGGGGCCAGGTGGGCGCAGGGGAACCTACCCATAGTGCCAGGGGAGAGATGGCGGCTCAGACCAGGCGGGGGTCGGGGGGCAGGGGGGGCAGAAACGGCTTGTCCGGATCCCCTGCTGGCTGACAACATGGCTTATGATGGGCTGGATGTGGGATGCCCCAAGGTTTTCGGCCGGAACAAATGGAAAGATGGTGTTTCCATCAAGAGAGCTAGGGTGGTGCACAGTTTGTGAGGGAGACTAGGAGTTAGTTCCCTACTCGTCTGAGACAGCCAAATGACGAGGGTATGCGGGAGTGGGACGTGCGGGCCTAGAGGTCAGTGTGAGGAAGGTCTGGGCTGGAGGGACGAAGTCACCAGGGTGTAGATGGCATTTAAGGCCTTGAGACCAGAGGAGATGGGTGAGGCAGCGGGCATAAACAGACGTTTGGTCGAGTGAGTAAATAAGTATTTCTCAAATGATCTGTTAGCCAGGACGGGGAGAGAGTATTGATCGTGCAGGAGATCCTGAGCTGTGGTCCCAGGAGCACCTGAGGCCGAGTCTCATGGATCCTGCACACAAGCCTCCGGCCTCCTGGCTACCCTCCACTCCTCCGGCCAACCTTTCCCCACTGGGTCAGCCCCAACCGGGAAGGCACACTTTGGACTTGCTCTCCCACTGCTAAGGTTGTGCACTAGAAATGCCCCTTTGGACCACAACCTCCTTTCTCTCCGCCTCCTCCTCATCTTTTCTTGGCTGTGTTATTCTTATCCCCAAGTTGGCTGCCCCTGACTTTTTATCCAGGGTGGATCTTGAGGCAATCCCTTCAGCCATGCATTTGCTGCTTCCTTGCCAAACTCCCAATTCTGTATAAGTATTTTTAAAGGGGAGATTTTAAGTAATCTCTACACCCAACGTGGACTTGAACTCGCAACCATGAGATCAAGAGTCGCATGCTCCACGGGCTGAGCCAGCCAGGTGCCCCCAAATTCTGTATATATTTTTAAGCACTTTACTACTCACAGTGTGGTGCATGGACTGGGAGCCTGGGCATCATCTGGGAACTTGATAGAAATGCAGGACCTCAGGCCCTGCCCCAGACTCACTGATCCAGAGTCTGCGTTTTAGCAAGATCCCAGGTGATGTGACTGAGAAGACTGCCTGAGAGTTTACGTCTTTGCTCCTATGTGGTCAGCCTTTGCTGAAGAAGGTCATGGGTTCCAGCATAAAGTGGCTCTAGATTAACTACCTATGCCGTACTGAAGCCATCTCTTTTTTTTCTGCTTTACTTTGAGGCTAAATAAGCAAGGGAGAAAGGAGAAATTGTACCCCGGTTTATGCGAAGGATTGCCTCAATCCTGAGAACTATGAAATCCTTTCTCCAAAAGAATGCCAAACTTTGGACCACCAATGGGGACATGGGCCTGACAGGTGTCTGGGTGACAGGAAAGAGACGGTTTCAGGAACTTGTGAACACTTCCCTCCTGTAAATTGAGTGAGAAGGGCAGAGCCCCAGATGGAAGAGAGGGACTCCTGGGGTGAGGCTCCCTGGAGGGACGGGGCTTTGTGCTCAAGGGCGTGGACCCAGGGTGACTTCTTAGGATCTTCAAGCCCCACAGGCAGTGATGACACACAAGAAGAGGCAGAAGAGAGAAAATGAATAGAATGAATAAAATGTTTCTTTTTCCAAGACTGTACTTTTTTTAAAAAAAAGTTTTACTTATTTAAGAAATCTCTACACCCAACGTGGGGCTCAAACTCACAACCCTGAGATTAAGAGTCACATGCTCTTCCGGCTGAGCAGGCCAGGCATCCCCCAAGACTGTACTTTCTATATAAAGCTTACTTTTAAATTTCAAATGTTCAGGGGAGGAAGGGACATGGATAGGGTATTGAAGCGTGATATATACAAATCATCTCGAAACCTAAATTTATGCAATACTTTATATTTCCTCAAGTTTCCCGTAAGGAGAGAATAAGGTCATTGCTGACTTTGCTACCCTTTCCTTTTCCTGGGAATATCGTCTGTGAACCATGGTACCGAGTAATAGAAAGAAAGATAAGAGCCAGGAAAGCAAAGGACACGGAGGGGGCAGAGGTTGTGACATGGCTTTTGGATTTGTTGAAACTGACTACAGATTTTTTTTTGACGAGATGAGACACTAATGGTTGACGAGACTTCAGATGTCCAGGGCTCTTATACCAAGAATGTCATCATAATTGAAGAACAGTTTCAGAGTACAGAAGTTTGTGACTGAATTTAACTCACAATTTATAGTAATAAAAATGAAAAGGCTGTCCGTTCCAGGGTCTGTGACCAGCGCCCAACAGCTACGTGGCTGGCCGGGCCCTGCGTCCTTACCCTCCTGCCCCCAGTCCACACAGGCAGGGCTTTCTCCCCCCGGCACGCGTGGCTGTGAGGGTCTGGGACCCAATGGGCTGGGCACCCCCCCCCCCCCTCTGCTGCGGAGAAGCCTGGGCTGGAGCCCACTCCAGGGTGAGGAGAACCGTCATGGTGGCGGGGCCTGACGTAAAGCCATTGTGACCTAAACCTCCAGAAGAAAACCAGTCATTTTTGTCTGGACCTAGGGGTTGACTGGACGGAACTTTTCAAACATGTTCTAATTCAAAGTATGCTTGTCTTTGACTTTCTACAGCTTGAAAGTGGAGCCTTCCCATCCCTAGTCAACGGGTCTACTTTCCCTTCGGGATCCGCTCTTCCAGGACCACCAAAAATAACTTTGGCTGGGTAAGGATTGGAAGCACTCAGTTGTCACTTACTTTAATAGAAGCGTTTAAGAGGCTTTGGGGGTACTTTGGTGGTTTTATTTAAGTTATAAAATCAGCTTTACCTGTAGACCTTCGTGACCTCTAAAAGCTGTATTTTACATTAAGCAGTGGCAGCTACCGTGTTGCTGTGTGTGTCTGGTTTGTTGCTGGAAAGGCTTCCTCGTTGTCTGCTGTCCCATGTTGGTGTTTCAGGGGCCCACTGCCATCCAGAGCTCTGTCTTGGTCTCACATCAGTTTAAACTGAGATAAACTGAGATGCTCTATCTCTTTCTCGTGGTCATCAACATAAATAACAGTATGGCAGGCACTCAACATTGACGACGGTCTTAGTGTGCCTTTCTGGGCCGCCTCTGCCTGCCTCAGCGCCCCTGCTGGGTCAGCCCGTGGTCGGAGGTGGGTGCCGAGGCTCACGGTCCCCACGTGCACGTGGACTGCACTTAGCGGGGGCCTTGTCTTGCCATTTGACAGTCACGTCTGTAATTGTAACTAATTAAACTAACCAAGCTGGTTGGAACTCCTCGTTGAGTTAACATTCATGTGCTAACAGTGGACGGGGCAGCCCTTTCCGCTCGTGGAGCCCTTGAGCTGATTAGGGAGATCAGTCCGTTTCTGCCTCCGTGGGTTTCGGGCCACAGCCCAGTGTGGTCAGACATCCCCAGCGGGTCCGGCAGTTTGTGAACTGTCCGCTGTGGGCTCTGGTGCTCTCCGGGCCCTGCAGTGCTGGTTGTGGTGTTAGTGAGCGGGACGAGGGCTGTCTGGGGGCCGCACGAAAGGCCAAGTGAACCCCTTGGCAGAGATCGAAGCCTTCCCCTTGGTGCTGCCTTCGGAGCGTGTCGGTGGCTCGCGTGGTTCTCTGCTGCTGTGACTCGTCTGTCGGCGGTTGTCACCCGGTGCCTCAGCAGGCGATGACTTTCAGTTCATTTAATGGGATCGGGTTGTGTGAAGCCATCCTCCTTGCTTCACTCTCTTGGGGATGGATCAGGGAGGGTGTGTACCCAGTCCTGTCATCGTGGCTCTTGCCACTTCTGGACAAAACAGAAGCCGCATAAGCCACTTCTAGATCTAGTCCCGGTGCAGCCTGAGGCTTCTCTGTGGCATGGCTGATCCACGTTCTCGGGGTGGGGGGGCAGTAGGAGGGAGCTTCCCGGCTGTGTCCCTCCACCTTGTCCCCAGACTCTACTTGGTTTTCTCAGTCACATATTTTCCTTTATTTTGATGTAACTATGCAGGTCATAAAATATTTTTCTCTTATAAATGATGTGCCAGGAACAATGTGAGCTTTGTGTTTGTGTTTTTTTTGCTGCAAAGAGTTCCTTGATTTGATGTCACTCCTCTGAATCAGCCCTGATGATTTTTATCTCAACATCCACAGTACTGATAATGGTAAACGGGAATCTCTATCAATATATGATTCGTGGTAAGGGAGCATGCAGAAACCTGTTTGCTGTTGCTTCATCCTGTATGAGCTCCCAACTGCGACTAGTTTGCTATACCTCCTCACCTCTTTAGATGCTTAATTAGGTTTCTTTTTGGCTTCCGCAAGATAACAAGGTCAGATCAGGTCCGAAGGCATCAGAAAGGAAGCTCTGTTGGCCCATTATGGCTCAAACGTTTCTAACCTAGTGTGTGACGTAGAAGCAGGTCAGCTGGGGCCTCCTGGCCAGCAGTCTTCAGGGGTGCGTTCACCCCATCATCGTTCTTCACAGTTGGGTGGTGAACTGGCTAACTTATTAACTAGCTTATCATATTAATAAAAATGCCCTTTTAGTAAAAATTCATGTCCTGTCACTCTGCATGGCTTTCGTCATCTTGTCATCAGTCAGGTGTTAATGTGAATTCTGATATGTCGTTGATCCTATTACTTTTGGTAACATAATGAGCGTTATAATAAAGAACATTCAAGAGTCTGCTTCTCTGAAAATTTTTTTCATGAAGATGAGGCCATATCTCGTGTGGTGCAGTTTATTTCTCATGCTTTTCTGAGGCGGAATTGTGCGGATCTCTCCTGACTCCTTAATTTTCAGATTGGCATAAGAGGGTGGACAGGTGTCCTCAGAGCTGTGGGATTTTCGCGGGTTTAGTTCCCGCCCCTACGGCGCTTTCACTCCTGCCACTACCTCAGCTGAAACCCCGTTGTGGCGGATAGCAAGTCCAACAGCCCTAACAGGTGGTGTCGAATTATAGCTCCTTCGAAAGCAGTTTAACTTCTTCCATCTATATTATACTACCGTTTCTGAATTTTGTATCATTGCCAATCAATATCAAATAATTTGACAGCTAGGATTATACAGTATCTTCTGTCCTCCAATTTTTCAATCATATATATTATCTCATGTCACAAATTGCTGGATTCCTCCAGGACTGGCACTATAAATTTTTACACATATATTTTTTGGTTTTCCCCTGAGGCTCTTATCACAGTCCTGACCACTTGATGATCTCTCAGGAAATGCCCACTGGTATCTTCCTGATACAGGACATTCATTGAACTGTACCCTGTCCTCCCACAATCATGGCAGGTCACCCCTGGAATGTCTCCATGCGCCCCCACCCCATTTTTTAAAGGAAAGATTTTTGGTTCCTCTGGACAGTCAGTGCCAGGCCACCCTGTGCCCCGTTGTGGGGGGAGGTCTGAGAGTCTGAGAACAAGAGCAGTGAAGCAGGTTTCCACACGCGCTCCTCTGAAAGCCCATGTCTGCTCCAAGGTGCACGGGCCAGATCTGCCACCTCCGGGCACCCATGGGGACAGAAAGCTGTCACTCCGCTAGGTACAAAGGTGAAAAGTAGACTAGATGAATCATAAACTAATACAGCATTCAGTGACATAGTTTGAGGACATTGTCTTAAAAATGGGAGGATCTCTAGAAGTTAAGAGTTAGCAGCTCATCCGTGAGTCGGGTACTGAGTGTGGGGGGGGGGAGGGGTGTCACTAAACAGAAGCCTAGACGGTGAGGCTAGCTTGCCCATGCAGGAGGAACCCACGGCAGGGCACAGACAATGAAGGGCTGAGCTAGGACTTACGATGCCCGCAGTCCGGACTCCAGGTAGCTGAGTGTGTGAGTGCGCAGAGTACAGGCAAGGGGCTCGCCGAGCACGCCGTCTTCGGGGCATTCGTATCCGTTAGAACCACGGGACAAGTGGCAGGAGTGCGTCCGCACTCTGGGGTGGCGACAGGAGCCTGCTGGCAAACGTTACCTGTGTGCCACGAACCCTGCGGTTTCTGTAGGAAGCCCCAGACCAAGCGGCGTCCCTGCGACCCAGCAGAGCCTTGCCACCGTCGCGGTCTTTGTGCACCTGTCCCTCCTTTCGTTAGTGTAGTAAGCGCCTCACAGAACGAGGGCTCGGGGTTCCCTCCGTGAGCAGTATTGGAGAGCAGTGCTCGGGAACTTTCCCCGAGTTTTAGTCCACAGCTGCCCCTCATGTTTAGCATCCACGACTCGTTTGTCTCTCCTCTGATGCCCCTCACGATGGCTCTGGGCTAATCCCCAAGAGCAGTTCGGAGGGAGGTCTCCACTGGAAACTTGCTTTCTATTGCTGGTAGCTCTGCAGCGTGGACGGCTCTAACGATATAAAATGATGATTTGCCTATTTTTTAAGTTATACTATCCGTTAGTGTTCAGATTTGGGAAAATACAAAAAAGTTGAAATAAAGGAGCTATTTGGTGTGAGGGTCCCCACACAACAGGGGTTTAAACAGATCAAGGGAAGAACGTCCAGAAGGCTTCCTGGGGAGGGGACAGCCACCGGGTCCTGCTCTGCACCCCCGCGGGATCTGTGGGCACACAGGTTGGGATTGGCCAGGCTCGTTCCATCATATTGTAATCTGCACGCCACTTCCCTTTCATGATCAGGCACTGATAAATAATACCTATAACTACCTGGTGCTGAGATTTTCAGTATTTGTTCAGAAACACCAGATGCTTAGCTAATTCTCCTTTTAAAGAGTAACGATCTGAATATTTTCTTTTTTAATCTTTATAGAGTAACTCTTAGTTCATGGGACACAAAGTCTAAAAAGCCATGTAACTGTACCAAATCCCAGTGTCTGAAATTGTAAGTAATCACAAATCCTTCATTATTAAATAGAAATAAGGTTGTTTAGAAGTCAGTAAGTGGCGCAGCCCAGACGAGCGTCAGTGGCTCGCCACACACAGGCTGCGGCTGAGACCTGCCCCCGCGTCCGGGCTCCCCGCCAGCCAGAGCAGTGAGACGCCGTGCCCTCCGCACAAGCCTGGCTCGCGTCTCTTGGGATCCTCTTGACCGACTGGCTTAGTAAAGGACCCCGCCTGCACCTCACGTGGTGTGACTTTCTCGGGTTTGGGTTTGCATCTCCGCCCCTCGGACGGGTGCTAAGCGCAGCACCCTTGCGGGGCGTTAACTGTGACATTTCCACATCCTAGTTTTTACAAGTTTGGCGGACTGGTTCACTCAACAGTGAATTGTCTCAGAAAAATTCTCCCCCAGGGATGCCAGCCCGCAGGAGGCTCGGTCGGGGGGCGGAGGGGGTACACAGTGTGGCTGACGCGGGAGGTGGCCCCGGCGTCCCCTTCCGCCCTGCCACACGTGGACATTATTCCATTATTCGTGTCGTCTGCCCGGCTCTCGGCTTTGCCCAGTGTCTGCCCCGAAGGCCTGCCTGGCTTTAAAGTGACACATTGGAGGGGGCACACATCCTCATCCTGATGGCTAACACTGTCTCCACGTGGTTTTTCCGTTGCAGAGCTCCTGCTGAATCACTGAGAGCCCCACTGAAGGGACAGGGACTTAGGGGTGCACGAGTGGGTCCAAATCCAGAAGTCGAGAAACTTGGTTCACTGAAAAGACAAATCCATTTTTTTAAAAAAGCAATGCTGAAATCTAGGGTTGACTGTGTGAAAACACTTGAGCTGTCAGTGGTTTAGTCTGTGAACGCGAGCCATACACCTCTCTGGACGCTGGACACACCGTGAGACCACTAGCCCGCGGCTCTGGGTGAGGAGGAAGGAGAACAGAGGGAAAAGCCTGGACCGTGTGACCCGCCCAGATGGAGACGTCCGATGCGGTGGAGGACAAGGTGGTGGTGTGTAGGGTGGACAGAGCCAGGAGGGGAGCAGGTCCTGTCCAATGGGGCTGCCAAGCTGCAACCTTGTTTGGGGACTGCGGAGACCAAATGACCCGGGAAGCCTAGAACGAGGGGTAGACAATCACTGGGATGGAGGGAAGTAACCCCTAAGGACTCGGAAGTAAGGTGGGGCGCCAAGAAGGGTTTCACTTATTGATGACCCCACAATGGAAGG